GACCTCCACCACTAGCACCAACAGTAAACACAGGCCTTGATGAGACCCCGTCTCAGCCACCAAGGCCAGGTCATTCCAACCAAAGCTCGAAATTGGTGTTGAGCTGAAGTCCCCGCGATTGGCGTTGAGTCTACTTAATTAAACATGGCGACTGTTGAGAGGGCTTCACTGCTTATGTGAACCCCAATCCAGTACTTCCGCTGTGCTTGCGAGCTCTGAATAGGTAGGGTATCTGATAAGTCTTGTGATAGTTGATTCTTGTATCTGAGTTACTACTACCTACGTGAGTCAGATATACCTATCTGCTCTTAGCGATCACGTAAGCCGTAGTTCACGTGCTCCTGAGAGCAGTGGATCCTAGATATCCTAGATACCTTAGATATCGCTATCCTAACTATAGAGTTCCCTAATATTAGTTTTATATTAGCTCTTCTTTTCTTTATAGGTAGAATAGCCGTAAGGACTAATATTAGGAGCTATTACTAGGGTTAATAGCTGCTCTATCGCGCCTATAATTCTCTAGTCTCTAGCGCGTTAGATCTACTCTTTTAGTTTTAAAGTAAATAACTTAATAATAGGAAAATAATAGGAAATAATAATTAGAAATAAGGAAAAATATAGCTTAAGCCTATTATTCCTATAAACGTTAGGCCTCTAGTTCTTAGCGCTTTAGAATAGTAGTATTATCTATAAATAGCTCTTTAAGGAAATAAATTAAATTATAATTTAAATAATAAGAATAGGCCTCTAAATCCTAGAAATAAAGGAAATAAATTAAAATCTAATAATAAATAGTACTCTTATAATTATTAAATATATACTCCTAAGGCCTCTAAATCCCTAATACGCTAATAGAATATAATAAAATAATTATTAGCTTTTTATAGAATCTATTAGAATAATTCTTAATAAATTAAACTACCTTTTAATAAGAATAATAGGATTAAATTACTTTAATTAAATAAGTTTTATAGAAGATCTATATATCTTATTAATAAGTTTTAGTAATTCTATTCTATTAACCTTTCTCTTTCCCTATATTAATTTCTTTAATTTTTATAAATTAGCTTAATATATATAAATAATACTTATATAATTAATAAAAACTTATTTTTATTATTCTTATTTATTTATTTTCTTTCTCGTTCTAGCTACGATAATACCTCTTAAGCGTAAAACCCCTATATTTAAGCCCCCTAAAACTAAGAGAATAGCTAAATATAAGAATATAATTAATATTAATCGTAAAAGCTATTAATTTAGTAAATAATATATATATATAGTAATATTTATAAAGTTCCCTATCTAGGTTACTTTAAATCTTATTTTATAAATAAATAAACTAAAATTAGTATTTTAAACGTATATTACGATCTCGATCTTAAAGGATCCTATTATTATAAATATACCTCTAAATATTCTTATAAACTAATATAAGCTCTTACGATCTATATTTCCTATATTTATAGCTCTAATAAGTATTATCTTTAATCCTATTAATATATTTAAGCTCGCTATAAAGTTTTTAGCCGCTTATAATAAAAAGAATTAAGCTATAAGTTCCTATTCCTTTCTATTCCCTTAATTATCTAATTATATAATTAATTAATAATATAATTATAGGATCTAGAGAAATAGCGTACTCTCGTTAAAAGTATATTATAGATTATTAAAGAGGAGGACGCTAAAAGGGGTAATAACTTTAATAAAAACCTTAATAATCTTAATAATATTAACTATAAAGCGGCTAAGCGGGCTATAGCTCTATAGCTCTTTAACTACCTCTAATAGGACTCCCTAGAGCGATTAGACTCGGATTCCGAGATATTAGAATCTAAGGCTTAATCGTTATATAGCGGATCGTTTATTTTATTAATTTAATAATTAAAAGGTAGCTATTTTTACTACTAGTATGTGATTCCTTGTGGGATTGCCGCCAGTTTTGGTAGGCAGGCACCGCCATCTTGGGAGGCTTTTCCACGTCAAGAAAGGTATCCACACTGAGTCAGCCGAACCACCGCTTTCCCGAAATGGTCTCCAGTCTCACCGCCTACTCAATTGATTGATGACCTTCCGTCCAAATACAGGTCCCTCAACTGGTCCTATTTCCGACCGCTTGCCCGATTGGGTCAGGTCCCTCAACTCGGCCCTGAGCTACCGTTCATCATCCGTTTTCTGTCAAACGGCCAGATGTCTGCTCGACCTCCGTCTATCGTCTCTCCTTTTTCTGAATCCATCTTTCTGGTGTCCTCATCGCAGTCCTATTCCAGTTTTGGCACTCACAGTATCTTGGTCCGTAATGAAGGTCTTTTAATTTCCCCGTCCTGGGCGTGTTCCACCTTTCGTGCTCTCCGATCAAGTTGGTGTTTAGAATCTGCTTGCTGCCTCACTTTGTCTTCTGCTTCTTGTCTTGTTCATGTTGTGGTTTACCTCAGCACCTGTAATTTTTGGTCTTGAACGTATTACGATTGCGATTGATCAATGCCTCCACCCTCCAAAGTGCCACGGCGGGCTATGCAGCGACGACATGTTCGCCGCAACAAACCCTCCATTGGGAGTATAGCGCCGACCATCCAGACCCCGTTCGCTCGATCAACCCTGGAGGTAGCACGAGGTGTTGACCGCGACCAACACGAAACCGACGGCCAAGACTCCGACGTCGACATCGGAACTGACTCTGATGGAGATTATGATAGCAATCACGACCGTCAGTCAAGGAATCCACACAGAAAGGCATCGTCGAAGCCTACAAAGTCGACTCGGCCTCTTCCCCTGGAGCAGCAAGAATCAGACTCGGACATTGATTCAAGCACAGAGTCTGAGTCTGATGCCGAGAGCTTTGCTGAGTCGGGATACTTCTCTGGCGAGGAAAATCCGGACGAGGTTGCTGGGTTTTACGGCAGCCTCATCGCGCAGTATGCAGAGGAAGGTCCGATCATGGCCAACCATGGCGAAAACACCAAAAAGATGACCCGCCCGGAGGAGAGACGATGGATTGAGTATGTTATTGGCCCCTATGTCTTTGATCCATTGCTCAAGTTGTGCCAGGTTCTGCCGAGCTGCCAAGCTGGAACAGCACGAAGCCATGGAGGCATGCAAGGCCTCCATTTTCAAGGCTTACCTGTTCTGGAGAACGAGGAACTCTAGAATCAAGAAAGAGTCTTCGATTATGACGTACTGGAATGTTCTCAGCATGGTATATGCTGAAAGGACCAAACGTTACATGGATGGCGGTGTTCTGTACGACATTGGCAATGTTGTTCCTCCCATCTGTTTCTTGACTGCTTTCAGATGCTAACATGAATGCCAGTGGATCCATACGTCCCTCACTCCTGAATTCGATTTGGATACATCTAAGAAAGAAAAGTCTGGCCTTTTTGTCGAGGACTTGGACTTGATCCTCCACTTTCACTACGTCCGCGACGAAGAACTCTACACACACGAGAGGTTGCGTGTTCAACTCGCACTCATTCTCATCATCGCTGGCGCCACTGCCACAAGGCCGGATGCGCTGATCGGTAAAGTGCTATACAAGCACATCGAGTTCCAGCTCTTTCCTCCCGCCGCCGAAGGGCAGCGTCCACGCCTTGGACTGGTGTGGAACTTGGAACACGTCAAGAGATCTGCCGGTGTATCAGAGAAAAAGGTCTTTGGCTTTCACGAAGAGGACACGCTCCTGCATGATCCAGTGCTTCATACGCTGGCCTTGGCGTTCGCTGATGACGCATTTCTGAATGGGTTCTCTGGGCCCGAACAGATTTACGATCTGGTCGTTCCGCCGCGGTCAGACCGGTTACGGCTTTTGTGGAAGAGGGACTGGGCTGAGCGTCCGATATTCCGTACCACGGAGGGTCTTCAAATGGCTCTTGACAAAGCCCTCACGTACAGTAAAACTCGCGGACATTTGATACGACTCGGCCGAGCACTGGGGTATGCAAAGAAGCTTGAATTTTACGACCTTCGTCGTGGCTCTGGAAAGAAGTTGAACGGTATGACTACCCCGCAGAACAATTGTAATCTTACTAACAACGTACAGAGGCGCTCACTCCAGAGGAGCGAAATAAATCCATGGGACACCGGCTGGGAGACTCGTCCACTTACGTGCGATATTACATGGGCGATTTCATTGGTTCCGACAACCAGTCCATAGTGTTTGGAAGCGACCCACAAACGGACATGCTTCATCTCATGGGCCGACTGCAACGTCATGGCGATGCCCCAACAAGACTGACCGTCGATCAGAAGCTCGCCATTCAAGAAGACCCAAAACTAGCCAGATACCTCCAGAAACGAGGCAGAGCTATGGAAAGATTTAAATCGGAAGGATATCGTTCGTACACAGCTGCGAAAGACACAATTGCAGGGAAACGATACAGCATGTAACGTTATCGAAAGAAGACCGAAAGCTTGAGGAAAACGTTGACAGCCCGCTGCCTGGAGCGTGCCATCAGGGAGTTCCACGATACCATCCATGCCAAGGAGGTTGACCGACAAATGCAGGGAACGAAGCCAGACGTGGAGCTGCTGGCGCCCTCGAATATCAAATACGAGCTTCGGGAGAGAGCCGAAGTCGCACGCCTGTTCTCTCAAGCTGCGGACGCGTCGAACAGAGAAGAGCTCCACCAACTACGATTGAACCTCATCGTGGCACTTTCTCATCTCGGCAAACGGCGTGAGAGCCCATGCCGTCGTCAAGCACGACAGAGTGCTGCCAAAACTAAGTCAAGGTCGGCAAAGATTTGCGTTGACGCCCAGCTCGAACCTGTTTTGCAAACTGTGTCGGAGACGAAACCCGATATCCCCAGAGGCCTGGACCATCTGACTGACTTGGCACCTCTCGACCGGCAGCAGGATCTGCATATTTGTCCCTTTTGCAGATGGGAAGATGCAGAAGTCGGGACAAACCAACGGGAAAAGACATGGCGCATTGACAGTTTGGGGAGGCACATCCGGTGTGTGCATCTTGAAAGGCTGGCTATGCCTTTTACGTGTCCGTATGACGGGTGCCAGGCGGTGCTCGGGACCGCGGAACATTTCATGAGTCACGCCGCAAGGGAGCATAAGGTGTGTTTGCCAGCATCGGTACTACCAAGGTAGCCTCAGTACATAGTTCATTATCTAGGTCTTCCGCTATTGGGTTCCGTGAAATGCAGTCGTCAAGAATCAGGGCCCACGTCGAATGCCGCTCATGATGGCTGGTTTGAAAGTATCGAATTCGAAGGATTTACGGCAATCATTATTTGATTTGTTGCAGTTGAATCGATTGATACTATGTCAGCTTACAGATATTGACCTTGCGAGCCAGGTAGAGTTTCCCATATGCCCAGTTAACAGTCCAAAGTGCCTCGATGCCCTTCATCGGAGTCACGATCGAGAAGCTCAAGCCCATCCGAAGAAGCTATCGGACCCTTCATCCACCATTGCCTCAGAGCTTGAAATAGTCGATTAATCCAAACCAATGTCTCAGTGCAGCCATCATGTAAGGCATAGGCTGCAGAAGTAATCTGGCTTGTCAGCAAGGCTCGCACGATTGTGTCTAAGACTTACAGATGGTATCGCAAGCTTCAAAATAGGTCGATTGTCCGAAGCATTCGCTTTATTCCAAATCATGGCACATGCCAGTATCATAGCACCCGTAGATAGTATCTGGATCGAAAGGTGACCCGTCAACTTGTAAATCCCTGGGGTATTACGCAAGGTGTTGCCGCCCGGTCTCCCCTCAGTGCCCCTGGCTTCCCAGATGAACACAATCCATTGCGTGACCATAAAGATACGGAACATGCTGGCACCGGTGACTAGTATCGCGCAGCCAAGAGTTGGGTTCTCCATCAGAAGAATGCCCACCAGCGACACAGAGAAGCAAAGTACCAAAACGCATGCTAGGATAAGCGGATGGAACGCCCGCCGAGTTAGATACCAAGATCCGCCCATCCAGAAACACTAGGACTGTCAGTTACGGATTATTGGGAGGCATAAAGTACGCTGACCTGTCCGGCCATGCCGAGAAGCACCACTGACCCAGATACAGTCAGTGGTCGTGACCCGTATTCGACTTTGGAAGTCACTCCAAGCCCGAGGGCAACACAGAGGATAGCGACACCGTGGATGAAGGCAACAAGCACGAAGCGATGATGATGTATCGTACTCAGAGGTTGCATTGGACCTGGAACACTGGGACCCTTCCTGTAAATCTGATAGAGGGAACATAAACGAAGAATGGAGGCCCCAACGCTGGTCCAACATGAAATGCGGAGGAGAATGTGAAAGTAGTCAGCAAAATCCATCCTGGATGAGTTCGACGAGTGTCGATATTATTTCATGCTTCTGTAAATATTTCAGCTTCTGGTCTATATGTATGCAATGACTGGAAAGCTACAGAGCACCTCCTTTGACCCGCCCTTGGCTAGAAGATCCACTTGTTGCTGGCCCTGTGTTGAGACCCAGCAGAGTATGAGCCAGAGACCGCTATGCCTATATGTGGAAGTCCCCAGGCAGCTGATCGTCACTGCTAAGAAACCCAGCAGCTTACATGGATGCCAACAAGGCAGACTGGGAGGGTCCCCTTACCCTGACCTGCTATGATGCTCCTGTAGACGGAGCAGAAAGGGGGTGAACCAGGGGGTGGGGGACAGTAGAGCAACACTGGGGCGTCGGGATAGGGGGCGGCCTCGTCACCCTCAGGCAAGGGGTGGAACTCCAACAGTCTGCATCATATGCTCTACGGCTGGCTTCGGCAGTTGGACTTCCCGTCTCATCCTAGGCCTCCTCCGTTGCTCCACACGTACCAGGTCTAACGGTTGAGAGGAGAACGGGAGGGTTAGGAAACCCACTCAGGGGCTGTACAGTGACTCTACGTGCGGCTACCCTCCCGGGTATGATGTGGGAGTCAGGGAGGCATTACCGAGCCTTCCCGGTCTGACTTTGCCCAACCGTTATGGACGAAGAGAGGGGTGAAAAACATCCCGTGACTAGATACATAAAGGGCTCCGTTATCCCCCCTTCATCCTCCCTTTTCATCCCCTCCTCTTCATCCCCTCCTCGTCATCCTACCATTGATCAACCCTAGCCATCATCCCACCTCAAGCTGCGAGCTGATTGTTGGTTATCTGTAATGGAGTCTCTTCTGATTTCTCAGAATCGCCAGCCCTCGATCTATACCGACACACGCAATATCGACAGCTGCTCTTCACAGAATTCTTCTCAAACAAGCGGTGAAAGTCACCATTGCGGAGAAATGGAGTTCCCTCGTGAGAGCCCTGACCTCTCGCGCGAGAGGCTTGTTGGTCATTCTCGGGCTCTTCATTCTATCCTCAGCAGTTCATCAGACCACCAAGAGCATCAAATCATCGATGACGACTGTTCTGCCACCGACTCAACGGCTGATACAATATGCGCAACAGATGACCGTCGCTACCTTTTGGAGACTCAGACTGCATGTGATGCCTTCCATGCCGCCGAAGCGATGATGCTGCTAGCTTGCACCCCAACGGAGAACAGACAGCCAGCCGAAGTATGCCCAGCACACCATTCTGAGGCCAAGGGCGTTCAGCATACAACCAGAACAGCGGCACAGGCTATCTCCGGATCAAGACAGCCTCGCTTCAGTCACGATTACCAACATCAGTACCCTGCAAACACTACCGTCGGATCTCGTCCAATACTACGTCCCAACCAACCCAGTATTGCTTCGTCGAAATTTCAGAAGCATGCAAGGGCCATCGGACGACAATACTTTCCATGGACCCCAATACTTGTGAAGGATCGTGAGCGATGCCTTCGTGCGTGTCGGCGGTTCAACCGATTCTTTGCGGAAGAAAACGTCCCATCTAAGCTGTCTTCGCTTCTTTTCCGTCCCATTTTTCAGCCGTCCGAACCGACGCAAAGTCCGCCATTTCTTGGCGGCAAGATCGGAAACAACGTTACCGTAGCACCTTATTTCATGTGCGAGTACGGATACAACATATGCATCGGAGACAATGTGCGCATAGGCCAAGACTGCACGATCAACGATGCGAGCCGCGTCATCATCGGAAACAATTGCGTTCTCGGGCCCCGCGTGATGATACTGACAGAGCTACCGACTGAACGCAGGGATCGGAGAGTAAACCACAGCTCTTGGCATGTCCAGGGCGTCAGGATCGAGAATGACTGCTGGATAGGAGCAGGGGCCATTATTTGCGCTGGTGTGTGTATAGGAGAGGGCAGCACTGTCCTGGAGGGCACTGTTGTAACGAAGGTGAGTGAGATCAGCCTCCGATACAACAACGAATTATTGATATTTTGGTCACAGAACGTTGTGCCAGGCGACAGAGTCGCCGGGAATCCCGCAAGGGGTTTACAAAGTCAATAAGAACGAGAGAAGCCAAAGTCTGGTCAGGTTGGCGCGGGGCTGTGTGCTACAGGACTGTTAACAATCAGATGTGACTCGGCTTTAGAAGCCGGTGGATAACTTATCAAAACAATGAATAGCTACACTGCCCAAGTCGGTACGATTCAGTATCCAATGTGTCAAATCCGGCATTTTCGCGGAGGTAAATGATCGAATAAGCCTGATCACATAAGTCAAATGAATCTTCTGGCTCGTTGCCAGTAGATCAGGTAGAAAGGCTGAAAATTGTGACAACGCTAATGGAGCTGAAGTCATCGCCTTGGTGCAAACATCATGATCGGGTATGCTTTGTCGGTCGGTACATATATATCAAGCTTCACGAGTTCTGGGTCCTCGACATGTCCAATTCGTGGCGGGTGGCATTTCACATAGGCCCCCATCTAGGTTTTTGGTCTTACCCCCATGCTCCGCAACGCGTTCCTGAGCCTTACCCGGTTCCATTAGAGAGCCAAATTAGGTACCTGAGCTTCCCCATTTTTGGTAACTGTTGCAAAGGCCCAGATCGGGAATCATATCTATGAGGCCTTTCCTAAGGGGTCTCGTGCATCGCTTATTGAAATCTATTCAGAACCCTGCTAGGTTCACATCTGGATGATGAAAGAAAAAGAACAAGTTTCAGGCTCACAATACTCACAGTGCGAGAATTCCAGAAATAGACATCAAATCCGACATCTGGCAGTCCCTCCTCGCATTTCATGAGCGTCAGATTCGGGGCACGTGTACCCCTGAGCCTGACTAGAGCTTTATCGCCCTTGCAATCGCTCGCCACAGGTTTCATCGTTGCAAATTGTAGTTCAATAGAGATCGCACCCCCTCCTTGTGAGGCGGACCCCGATTAGTTCCTCGATGTGTGGCACGCATACGTCAAGACGAACTGAACTGAACTGAACTGAACTGAACTGAACTGTATTGTTTGTAAACGGCTTCTGTTCCAATGTTAATCGACTGCTAGCGCTAGCCCTTTCCCGTCTTGAGCCTTGTTCTAGCTCCACTACATCCATGCCTATTCATGCGTACAATCCAGCCATCTCCGCTCGCTTGCAGCGTCGGCTACCTCTCGAAGCCAGTCGAAGTCGGTCTGCAAGCAGATAGATATGAAGGCCCCCTATCCGTGTTGTCGTCATCGCTTTGAAGCAGACTCATTAGGAATCTAAACTGCCGACAGGTGTTTTTAACGCCTAACCTACTGGCAAGGTAGAAGCCCCATCAGGCTAGGATAATTCAGTCGTTTTCAGTCATGTGTGCCCCAGCCGCGTAGGTGTCATACTCAAAGTCCACTCAAAGTCCTTCAGGATAGCCTTAGTTCCTGGTTTAAGGAGCATTAAGCTCTTCTTATGCTTGTAGTCTCCGAGCTCTTGGACTAGTGGCTTCCTGAGTTCGAACGTATATCTGCCGCGGTGGGCTGGAGAGGTGTATTTGGTAGACATGGTTTGGTAGTGATTTTGGTGTCTTGGGTAGGACGGGCTGGTCTGGTCAGGGTACCTTGGCATCTGTTACACAGAAGACAAGGGCCGTTTCCTGTTGTATAGGGCGACGAGGCCAAAGAGGTTGTGACCATTAGGTTCGTGGCTATAGGGTTCGTGGCTGCAAGAGTCACAGTACAGTTCAGAGATCTTAGTAGCTATCTACGAACAGCTATTGACCCTGATAGACAACGCGTAGGTAGGCGTTCTTGAGGGTTGGGCTAGCAGATGCATTGCTACACCTCTCACACACTTTGAATAGGGATCGCACGCCCTAACTCTTATCAGAACATTGAGAACGGCTATATCACACGTTCTGCAAGCTTCCTCTTCTGTTGCCTGATGTTCTTTTCCGTGCGAAGACACTGTTTTATGGCAGATAGCACATTGTGATCAATGGCCGTCTCTAGCGTGATGATAACCAAGTTCAGTCCAGTCTTCACAGCTTCACTGTATACCATTTTCGGCTTCATACAGCGCCCGTTCACATTGAGGAGCTTGTATCCTTTCGAGTCCAACAAGGCCATGTGTTTCTCGACTGTTGGTTTGTCCATGTCAATTGTGCGGGAATAATCTCGCATTTCTCCATCTACCCATACTTTGATGGATAGCTTCGAGAGATCTGCTGGGGCGAGGTCCTAAGATATATTAGTCGGATTTTAGGTTGAGAAAACGCCTCTTCGTTACCGTCATCTCAGTATCGGCAACGCCGGTATTCTGAATAGGTGCGTCTTTCTCAGAGCCAGACGCTTGGGGCGCCACTGCCATGGGGTGCTGGCCTGCTGGCGCACAAGCTGCTTGATCTTGCGTCATCGTGAAGGAAGATTGGGAGCTCTGAGCCTTGGTGCAAACATCGTGATCGGGGATGCTTTGTCGGTTGGTATATATGTATCCAGCTTTACGAGTTCTGGGCCCGAGACACGTCCAATTCGTGGCGGGTGGCATTACACATAGGCCCCCATTTAGGCCCTCGTCTCAAACGCCATGCTCTGCATTCCTGAGCCTTACCTGGTGCGGCTATAGGAATAGGGGCAAGAACATGGCCCTCTAGCAGTCAAAACTCAAAACGTATTCTATTTTCTTCCGCAAAGTAAAGTACAGTACAGTATGACATGACAAGCCTCATTAGCCGCTTCCATCTTGGGAGGCTTTGACTTCCTTTGTTTACCTTTGGCCTTATACGATGCGTGACAGAGCGTGATCTTGTGTATTTCCTATCTCTCAAGAAGATCTGGTGAGCTTTACAGTCACTGAAGAACATTACCTAGCTCGAGCTCGTCACGGCTATCTTCTTCATTTCCGCCAACGCCCTGGCCATAGGCTATAGTATTTGGAACCCGCCGGCCTTTATCCGCCGCTCGGGAGTCTTGCTGTAGTTAAAATCGCACTACTTAAGTCTAGGAACCCTCATAAACCTGATCGCGAGTGGCTGCGGGCTGAGCCTACCCGCGTAAGTCACGATAGACCGCTGGCTGGCAATTATAGCCATCTTCGAGGGTCTGGCTCACGCCGCCATCTCTGGTTTCCAACGCAGTGCTTCATTTTCAAGGTAATCAATTCTCAATGCTTGTTCCACGCCTCCTAACTTGATCGTATAAAGCCGTTACAGACTCTGAATAGCCGATCATGCCCCTCGACCATTTAGGATCTTTTATGCCTTTGGCGCAGTATCACGGGCTAAAGAAACCAGCCATACTAACTCTGATATATCTTGCTCATTCTTGAAGAGGGGATGCTAGGACATATTTAGTAAAAGTAGACAAGTTTGGAGAGAAATGCGAGTCCAAAATTATTTAACTTCACAGCAGATTGGGTCATTGTGATCATCAGGAAATCGACGACTTCAGCTGACCAATTTCCAGGCTTGTGGGATGCAGGCTGGCCATCTAGGATGTCTATGCCGGTGAAGTGACTCATTACTTGACCCAAAGCTTCTACGTCTTCATGACAGGCTTCGGGGTTCTTCTCAGAGCAGTGTTCGAGTTCTGGTTCTCGAGTCAGCGCATATTTGCATTATTGGATTCTTCTACTCACTAATCTTGACGACTCCCAGCCTTGTTAGCAGAATGCTAGATCTTGATATTGAACGGTGGCAGATGCCGCTTTCTTCCGAGTGAGCCAAACACTTTACAATCTAGACAGCTACTACCTCCCCTTCTTCATGCGTGGGGTCCCAGGCATGTAAAATAACACGTACCTGGTGGAGAATGGCGACTAGTTCTCCTTCGTTTGGTCGGACGAGATTATGAGTTTCTCCAGCGATATCTCAGCATCCTCGAACACGATGTAAAATGCTCCGCCAAAAAGATACGAGTCGTGGTATTGGAGAAGGTTCGGATGCTTCAATAGTGATAGCAGGTCAAGCGTTTTTCTTCCCTTCTGAAAGGAATAACTCCGAACAAAGAACAAATCTCGAGTCGATGAGATCTTGCTCACAATCGTGCCGGTTTCTCTTAGCCGAAGATCATACCGCTTTTGGTATCGGTCCCAAGGAGACCTTTCCTTCGCCAACGGTGGCTGAATCAGATCAACAGAGTCGGAAGTGGTTGCTTCTTAGGACACAACAGGAAACCTCTGATGCGATGGCTTAAGCTTGTTCCTTCGGGGTTGAAGTTTGGGAGCCTTGTGGGTTTCTGTAAGCTTGATCGGACTACCGAAGGCATCGGCCCATTGATGACTTCCCGGAAAGAAAGTCCGTCGGTTCGGGTTATCCGCAGCCATCGCGTTCTTTTCAGAAAGCAACACGTTTAGTTTCGGTCGTGGTTGCTATTATTGTGGCTCGGGGTTTGTCACCGGACTGAGAAAGGAGTCACACGTGACGGACGGTCACATGTGTAGACGACAACGACATTTTACACTCTTGAAACGTGAGGAGACCTGGTTCTTGTCCTTTTCCTCTCCTCGCGCTACGTCTTGTATCTAGAAGTGACTCTAGCTGTGCTAGCAATAGATCCTCTTCTTGAGCGTACTCCCTAGCCTGATTGAGGCGTGAGACCCTCACATTGGCCAGTCTGGGAGGCCTGCCCTGGCACCGCCACCTCCGACACCACTTCGACCCCGTCGCCATGGCCCCCTCTGACCAGCAAACGACGCCAGAGCAGTTTAGCAGCGGCAATGCTGACCTTCATGGCACACCAGTGTAGTATAGAGGTAATGTCTGATGTTTATCGGTAGGTTATAGCTCATCGATTTCATTTCGCCTAATTTTCCTTCTACTCGAGCCATCCTCAGCTTCCGCGCTGTTGCTGTCAGAAGATGTCGTAACGAGGTCTGCTGAGTCTGCTCCATCACCAAAAGGTACGGTTGGGTGAACGTCAGGTAAAGGTTCTCCTGTATCCGCCTGCCTTTTACCTCTTTTATTCAGCAGATGATCCTGGAAATGCTGTACACCGCTCTGTAAGTCGGCCCGAGGACGTAGGTACACAGTGTAGGACTTGTCCTGACTGATCCTTTCGAAACAATCTCCAGCTGTTAACACTTTTTGATCTCTGTCCAAGAGAATCATTCCTTTCCTGATATACTTCGCAGCAACCCGCCGAATCTCAGCTGCTTCTTTTTCTTTTCCTTCTTTTGCATGGTGTGGGTCAACCCACATCGCATGCGCTAGAACCCAATCCACCCGCTTGAACGCTACTTTCACCTTACCAGACTGCTTTTGAGCCTCTTCATGACTGGCTTTCGCCAGATTCTGGTCCTCGTTCTTCGTTGACTGTTCAGTTTGCGATTTCAGGTCTTGTTCTTGCGTCCTCAGTGAGCCAACGCTATAATCAAGGTCTTTCAGTGCTGCCTGGAGCCTTTTCTTTTCTTCTTCGAGTCTTTCCAGGGAAGAAATCTTGTCATTCTCTCTCCGTGTGAGTTCGTTTAGCCTATTTTGAAGACTTGTCTCATTTTCTGCGAGCTCGGAAACTTCCCTTTGTTCCGCTGCCTCTGCATTGATGGCGTTGCTATCTGCTAGTCGATTGGCTCTTATCCCCTCGTCAAGACTATGCTGAAGTTGCTCCAGTTCTCGAGTTCTCTCACTGAGTTTCTCTTCCTGTTCTTTTAGTCGATTTAACCGTAAATTTGTCTCCTCTTCTTCTTTCGCTAGGTTCAGTAGTCGATTTTCTGCAGCATGCGCATTTTCTTCCGCTTTTTGGCAACGCTCTTCCCAATTGGACATAACATTGGAAGCCTCTGTCACTGCCATTGGCTGTAGACAGTCTGGATCGTTGGTATGATCTACTTCCAGGCTCCTCAATGGCTGTCTTTGCGCAAGAGGGAACTGATTCCATGGATGGCTCTCTGGAAACTCTTGTAGGTTGCTGATATCGATGTTAATGGTCTTACCGAAGAATGAAAAGTAGATCGATCGTTGGATAAAGAAGGAGGTCAGCGATGTGCCTTGTAGCGCGATAGGTTTGTGTAGTTTGTGCAAGAACATTGATGACTTGTCTCGACGTTGATCAAGGTCATTCAGAACTCCACAGCGGGTTGGCAGTGCTACTGCGACATTGTCCACGTCTAGCTCCATAACGCCATGCTGAGGCAGGGGCTCTGCTTTGCTAATGACATGAATAACCTGCGCCACGCTGTCATCAAGGCTCTCGAAATTGTATTGATCCGGCTTCCTAATTGTGCGGAGGAACCGAAGGATCATTTCTTGGTCTGGGTTGCGTCGCCGTAATTCCTGAGTCTGCTCAGTGCGGAAACCAAAGCCCTCGGCGACGGAGGCGAATGAAAACAACACTGTGGAGTCAACTTCGCCTTCTTTGACTCCTGCCAGCTTCCTTTTACTCTGTTTTGGCATGTCTCGGTACTCCCTCAAGGCAAAAAGCCAGAGTTGTCGATACATAATATCCAACTGATCCGAAACACAGGGATGCGCGATTTTGAAAGAGGCGTTGGATGTTTGGACCGGACATCCAACGGCTGGAGGCAAAGGCTCCGAGAACACCTCTTCCAGGGCAGATTGTATAGTCTCGCGGCGCCGTGGCCGTACTATTAGCTTCATGCAGTCTGACGGCCCCTGGAGGTACTTCAAATTCTCGAAAAACCCGAAAAGAGACGGTGTCAAACAGTCTTTAGTGGCTTCACAAAGATTGATCCATATGCTCTCTCTCTCTTGATCGGTAAAGGCTTTGAAAATCATACCGCCCTTGATGCGTCCGCGAAGCCTGTCGGCATCCTCAGCCGATGCGCCAGGTGCGCTCAGCTGTATAGCCTCCACGTCTTCTCGTGTAAGTCTTCGCATAGCACTTTCCTTCTTTTCAAATACATGATCATAAAAGTTTCTCATGTCTTCGAGGCAGTGGAGAAGCAGCTGTCTCTATTAGCTGTGTTTTGCAGCAACATTCGATTGAGCTTACGTCATGGCATTTCAAAGAGATCATCTTATTGATGGCACTGAGTCGCAGTCCCCCATACAATGCCGGGATATTTTGGAACGAGTCAAACGCTGGGGCGAATTGCGGGTGGTTGTAAAGTTGCTGAAGTCTTTCCTTCTTGTTGGTCGATTCTGATGATGAGGCTAGACGTGCCCACCACCGCATCTCGAAATACAAGTTCTTTGTCCCGAAACGCCCTTGCAACTCCCGAATCTTGTAGTAGAACTCGCCATCGTCTGGCTTCTTTTCGTTGGTGTATTCATCGATCAGTGCGCATCTCAGCTCCGAACTGATGTCTTGTCTAGCAGTGATTGGTAATTGTCAAGTGACGCTTGGGCGAAGGACTCACCTGACGGATACAAGTCAACCGTCCAACACTTATCCGGATGCTGTACTGCTTGTCGGGCGGCCTCTACCCGGTGCCTACCCCTGAGACACTCTAAACGGAACCCCGGGGGCAAGTCAAGCTTTAGATGCTTCCCTGGCGAAACTGATGATATCCTGTCCGTGGATACGCCGGATAGCTCGAGGTGCTGGCGAAGCTGGCTCTCGTCGATTACAGCCGGGATCCGATTTGCGAGCTCGTCAGGCCGGCAACCCCTCTCAAGTCGGAACATGCGCTTGAGTCGCTCGATATTCTCTTGACTTACTCCCCCCCGACTGTGGAAATGACAGGGCATCGAGGCTGACACTCACGGTTCCTAGGTGCTTCAGGGATTTTTCAGCCTCTATCTGCCGTGACAGGTACTTGAGACTGGTTCGAGCCATAGCGATTAACCGATGCTGTAATGCTAGGATTGAGTAGCTTGAGGTGGGCGCGTCCCGCCTCGCGGATGTGGGTTTTGGGGTGAGGGATTTATTACTTGGGCAGAGAAAGGGTCGATTTTGACTCTTTAAGTGGGACGGGATTCTGTCCTTAAATAAATCAACACAAAAAGGCCTTGAATAAGGTCTTGAAAAAGGCCTTGTTGGTGGCCTTCCGACGCAACAAACACGTTGCACATCTCTGGCGAGACATTCTTAAAGGATTATACACGAGCGTATGTAGACGTCGACTTGCCCGCTCCAAAAAAGTTAACCCTTCAAGTACTGAGCTGCTACAGTACAGTAGAACACAACTTGAACCAAACAATTTTGGGCCTTCCTCTTCACGTAAATGGCGTCTGAATCAGATAACCGTCGAACCTGGTTTCCCGGAGCCCATCGTGTACTGATAGACTCGACTGGAGATTTGATCAACACGCCGCTTGCAGGACCAGGAAACTTAGAACAGATCCAATCTCAGGATGAGCTCCATATGATAGAAGCTTCTGCCCAGTTCAGCCATAAGAATCGTCAAGTTGACAAGAGCCCAGTCGGCCCCTTTCCTGACAAACCAAAGAAGCTTTCAATGCAAAGCAATCATGCTGCACAACCAGCAAAGGCCACTCCTGCACCGACGCATGAGAGATATCAAACGCTTTATGAGATTCAGTTTTGCTGTAGCAACTTCTTCCCTGTCGCACAATCCGTTTCTACAGCCTCGGAAGAACTTGTTCTAATCCAAACTCTAACAGGGCTTGATGCCGAAGACCAACTACAGTGCATTAAAAGAATCCAACACCCCCGGTTTTTGAAATGCCAGGACATCTTTTCAGTTGGGGAGTTTCAAAAGGTCGCATTCGAGTTTATGCCAGTATCACTCGCAGAGTTTGCGGGCAACCCTCTCATAAACGAGCTGGTGCTTGCGTCGATTGTCGGACAGGAAAGTTTGCGTCCAATCCATCAAGCTCTCCTTTATTAATATGCGTAGATCCTAGAAGGCCTCTCCTATCTGGAAGAAGAACCATCTTCGAGCATGGTCATCTTACGGCTTCAAACTTACTAGTCGATGCGTCGGGGAATATCAAGATTTGTAAGTAACCACCATTGAACCTGATGCCACCCAACTTACACAAGCTGCCAAGGGGGCTATGAACGGTCGCAGCGTTTCTCAAAGCCTGGATCCGACATCAAGGCTCTCAGCGTTATCATGATGGAGCTCATGCAGGGTTATGCAAAGGAGGATGGCATAGTGGGCATAGATGATCCGAATCGCTGGCCATATGACTCGGACGCGGTTCAATTTTTGTCGATGACGACGTTTGAAACGAAGACAAGTAAATTCCAGAACGCAAGAAGGCCTATTCCGTCTTAGCCGTATGTTTTTCTGACGTGTAGCAGCACGCGCTATTGCGGTGCTCTTGGGGCCCCAGCCGGATCAAGGGTGCTGTTTCTCTTGTAAATCTGTGGTCAAGTCGAGGATACAAAGTGTCCTTCTAGAATTGTGCGCTAGCATACAAGTAGCTTCCCTGTGCGCCATGTTCCACTGAAGTATCAACAATGCCATCCCCCCCCCTAGAGACATGATTTTAAAGGGTTATTGGCATTTTAAGACGCAAAACATCTCATGATGTCATCGATTATTCTATGTCTATCTAGCCACCATCAGTTGATCACCCATTCACTCGTTGGTATGACCCGTTCATGGCATAAAGTGTACTAGGACGGAGCATTTTGGGTCACGGCATGTACCGTAACATGTTGTCTCAGGATTTAGAATGTATTGGAATATGCGGTACTAGAATGTTGAATGCACTAGAATGTGATTTGTTATAAGACGTGAAACGTCCTAGCACTTGAATAATTATAGGATATTTGGGATCATGAGGTAGACGTTGTTCCAGATGCTACGTTGCGATAGGATCTAAGATATCCTGGGATATTGAATGTCCTAGAACATTGGTTGTCTTGAACTGCCGGTTGTCACAGGTTGTTGGATGTCGTGTGTGATGAATTGTCCCACAACGCGGACTGTCGTGGGTCACTGCACGAGTTGGGATGTAGTAGCTTGAGATGTGGATCATCTTGTGATGGACTGTCCTCGGATTTGGATTATCGTGAGCCGCCTTATTCTGAATTGAGAAGCATCTTGGAATGTAAAATCTCAAAACTTGGAACATCTTGAGACATGCTGAATGACCGCCTTCATGTGTTCAGGAAACGCGAATCTCGACCTTTTCGATTTCTCGCGAAACTCAAGGTCTTGGCTAGGCTCTATTCTTTGAAATGTGTTCTGTTGGAGAAATGCGAGATTATTCCCTCACAATTGTCATGTCATTATCACGCTAATACTGTCGGAGCAAACATTGGCCATTTCGTTTCCCACAGCCGTAATATGTATCCACTCTCAAAGTGGGCCCGCCTCTATTGAGGGCGGCTGCCGTGGTCCTCAGATCCAGACTCCGTCGCCAGCTGCCCGGCTCCACCCATCATTCTCCCCCCGGGATGGCGCTCTTTGCCTTGCTGGAAACGGAAACCCGTCACCTTATGGCCAATCAACTTCCCCAGGGACTCCGGCAGGAGAAGTGTTGTGGGTGCATGAGCTTTCTATTTGTCATCAGAGGAGACTGCAGAAACGGACGGAGGCTGGACAGGCGAGCTTACCTTGGCTTCGATGTCCTGACGCCAGCTTAAATTGGCCGACTCGTACGAAACGAAGCCTCCATCTTCAGTGAAGGAGACATAGAGAGCAAGCTCAACTCCCCCTAGATTACTGTAGTCTTCGCATTTCGCTAGCAAGGAGCCGATGTTCCTCCTGAGCATCTTATTTTGTCGATCAACTTCGTGGGTGGTCATCGTGTGTCTTGCTTGTAAGAGCATACATCACAAAAGCCATTTCGTCGCCCTTACGGCCGTATTTAAGTATTGCCCTGCACAAGGCCTCGTGTCTTTGAGTCGGCTTAAGGCCTTATTATGGGACACAAACCAAGTCGTCGATGGCGATCGGCGTGCTTTTTTTAGAAGGTGGGTCATGAATTGGGGGCGGCTGCAGCCTCCCAGGACAAAGGCCAGGTTAAGGTCCGATGTACACCAGCAAGACCCCATTTCAGACCTTGAACCCCTTTCGAAAGGCAGCTTCCTTGGCAGATGCCAGAGCAGCCCCAGCTACGGCTCCTGACTGCTCTGCTCCTAGTATGACGAGGGTCATCATTTGGCCCGCTTTCTCTTCCTCCCCTTCCCTTCATCGGTCATAGTTGCCGCAACACTATTCGTTGGCCGGCAGTGTGCGCAGACCCCCGGACTGTCGACCGAGTCCGCATTCTCGTGCAACACAGGGCCGACTCGAAAGTCCACGTGAAGTGTTTGGACTTTAGTCCGGATGCCGCACGTCCCACGGGATCGCTTCTGGCATAGGAGGACGCAGGAATGCAGCCGATGATGAATCCTTCAGCGCACGCCCCACCGGTTCCCAGTGCGGTTTGTTTCAACACGCAGTCCGGGCGAGTCTGCGAGTCTTGGCAGGGGGTGGAGTGGCGCCTCCCGCGCTGCCATGATAGGGTTCCGTATCCTCGGGACGACCTAAGAGATGGCTGGTTAAGCGGAGAGTTCCGCCGTAGCCGGACATCTGCCAGAGGCAATGCAAAGATCGGCCAGGCCGGCCGCAGACCGGCAGGGAAGGGCAATCACGGGATGCCTTCTCAACCACTTGGGGTTCAGGTCTCTTCATACATGCCCGAAATAATTAGTACGACTACATAGGACAGGACGCCTGTACTCGCTAGTTCGATCCTTAAAGGCGGAATCTATTTTTAATTTGCCCGATCCGTTGAGACTGATGAGCAGAAATGGAAGCAGCTGATAATTTTGAAAGGAATGGTCAGCTTTACTACTGTTCCTACCAACCTTTCCCACGTCACCTCGAAGGCAGGCGATGGACTGAGCTTGCTCAATACGCAGATCTGAAGATAGCCCGTAGTGTACAAAATACATAATTGCAACCGCGCTCTCCTTATGTGCAGCAGACCTCTCAAGTCGCTTCTTCCATACAACGGTATGCTCAACCTGTCAGTCGAGAGAGCCAAGATAACAGCGTTACTCAGACACCTATCGAACCAGAAGGCACAGATCCGGCCAGGGGCTTCGCGAGTGTGAAGCCTGGCCCATGTCGGTCGCCGAACGGTGTCGTAGGACTAGCAACTGTAGGCTCATGATCCGACTTCGGAGCTGTAGGCTTATTGCTGCGCCTCCCAACTCCACTCTGATGAAGAGCGATGCTTTTGAAGTCTTGGGACAACTGTTGAAGGGATGTCTCGCCGAATTGCTCACCAGCCTGCTTCAGCGTTTGACCAATGCCTCGGTTTGTGCCGTTTAGCGGCTTGCCATTCGTGGAAACCATGAACTGGATCGTGTCATCGCCTTCCGCGTGATTTTCGATGTTGCTGATTTGCGACTCCAAGACGGTATCGACATCCGAACAGAACCCCAGGCAGTGCCTCAGAGTATTGGCTTCACTGTAGAGTCTGTCGAGCAGTGCGCGGTCTTCCGCCGAGTGCATTGCCGTCGGGCCGGTGCCCAGACGCTTGGTGATAGTTCTCTGATGCTTTTCGAGTTGGTCCAGGGTGATGCGCATGTGGTCCCTGCAAGCCTCTAGTCCGTTGCCGAGAAGCATCTTGGAGGCTGAAATGTGGTCTCGGATGCTCGGAGCACCTTGGTTGCCCCCGAAGAAGTCGATATGGAGCTGTTCAATCTGCTGAGAAAGCACGGCGCAGAACTGGATGCCCTTTTCCGTGCTCAGTCGTTCTTCTTCTACGCGTTGACGAACGTCCTCACCCGAATCCGAGCTAACAACGGTACGATTTGCCAGGACTTCCAACTTCTGCACTATACTCTGTAAATGAGCCTCCAAATCGACAGTGGTGGTTGCGACCAAGTCCCGACAGGCCTGGATGGCCTCGGCGGTTGTGGCAGATGCGCGATTAGCAAGGATCAGGAAGACCAGGAAGGCAAAATGGAGAGCACTTACAGGTTCGCGAAGCTAAGAGCGACGGTCACGGTTAATTTTTATCCGATTAGCTGCTGCCGAAAGCCTTCAATGTCGTCGCCACCGCTGCACTTGAGCTTGAGTCAGTCGCGGAAGCTCGCCCGGTCAACGCCAGACCGCGAGCAGTACGTCAGCAGCTCAGCTTCAACGTCATCGCAGGCTTGCTTGCACTGTTCTAGCGCGAGTCTGAGGGCCGAAAGGTCGACATCTGAATCGAGATCGCCCATCTCAGAGATTTTCTGCAAAACCAAAGTCAAGCCCTCAAGCTCCGTCAGTAGCTCCCGGACTTGGCGAGGGAGGGAGCCGAAAGTCTGGATCGTGTGGAAGAGCTTCCTGCCGGACTTGAAGGGAAAGAGCGATAGGGCTAGCACGCCCGACGCCAATCCAATTGGCTCTGCCATCATATCGGAGGCAAATTGACTTCAGTGTCGGGGACGTAGGTTGCTTGGTGTGGGTGAGGGAATCACTGGGACCACCTGAGAAGTATGGGGTTCTCCGTCAAGTTTAAATGACGTGAGGCAGCGCTACGGAAGACAGGTGATACATAAGCCAGCTACGCGGGTACGCCGATGCTAGGACGGTGGGTACCCTGGAGCCCTAAATAGGCTAATCAAAGCCCATTCCTTCGGCTTTCGTTGATCCCCAAACGGTCGGCTCGTCTAGAGTCCAACTCTCGCGACGTCTCGTGCCTTGTCGTTTCAACAACCGACTATCCGAGCTCGATGAGTTGCGGCCGAGGCGATGGGCGGCAACTGAAATGGAATCCATGTCGATCAGCACCTTTCAAAGCCTGTCACCATGCTCAACATTTGCGGTAAAGACTGGAGAAGAATGTGCAATCGAACCTTCGCTGTTCGATCCAATTACCCCTTGGCGTGCTAATCCTACAGCCATTCAACTCCTCTTTAGTGGCTGGGTGACGATATGTACCCGAATGTACAAAGACAAGCTTTAAACTAAGTCATTGACAACTGGAGAAGTCGCAAAGGCTCTCCGACAAGAGTCGGAACGTCGGACCCTTCCTTCACTCACAGAAGGCACCTCGTATGATCAAGGGTTCATTTGGACCGATGTTTGCTGGAGAGTCTTCCACGGCCACGAAACCTAGACCAGCGACACCGGAGGCACGATCTCTTGAACACAACAACGGAAGCAGCCGTAGGCGAAAGGCCAGATAAGGTTCCCCCGCAGTGCGAAAACGCCCCACGGCCGCGAACGCCCCACGGCCGCGACTGACAACGAGTCTATAGGAAAGGGCCAGTGCTTCACGGAGCGAGCCGATCGGGAGGAAAAGTAAGTCCGTACTACAAGGGAAGGCCATGATTTAAGCAGTATTGCTATCGAATCGCTGCTTACTACTTCAGAAGTCTAACCAATGTTCCGCCGCCAGTCGTTCTGGATGTTGCTCCGGCTTTATTCTCTTACGAAGGTGCTCTACATGTTCGAACAGCCGCCCGCCTTGTTCGCCTGGCCATCAACATCGTATGCTGATGCAAGTTCGTGCTGCGAGCTTAGTCGATCAGGGTGCGTCTCGGCTAGCGTTGTTTCGTGAACAGCCACTACCTGCTCTAGTAGTGTGATAGCCTCTTTTATCCGCCCGTCGGCTTGGTATGCCGTTGCAAGTACGTACTGCGATGCCAGTCGATCAGGGTGCGTCTCCGCCAGCGTTGTTCCGCAGACTACCACTACCTGCTCAAGTAGTTTGATGGTCTGTCCGTCCGCTAGGTATGCTGATGCGAGTGCGTGCTGCGACGCCAGTCGAGATGGATACGTATCTGCCAGTATTGTCTCGGCCAGTCAGATCTTTTTGAAGTACCCTTCTTTCCGGCCCAAGTTTGCTAAACCTCAATTTGGGACTAAGCACGACGTCCACAGTACAAATATGCAGCGCTTCACGACCAAGGGGATAAGATCTACCCATTCTCGGTCTCCCAAGCCATGCTGACCATGTTTGCTAATAGACAAAGCCCGCCTCCTTCAGCTTCCCGTACCTCGACGCGTCGCCGCACTTGCAACACAGGTTTCCGGGAGCCCTTCAATAGATGTACGTGACTCTGTGGGTTTTGCTGCACAGCTGTGATGCAGCTATACCCATAAATTAATCATTCATATGGTCGCAGTGTCGAATACTACCCTCACACAGCCCGATGCAAATCTCGCAGACAATGCTGTTCTATCACAAGACGATTTATCTTTCAGCGAGCGGTCGGTCCGGCAGAGGTACTTTCTGCTACGTAGGCGCAAACACGTCATAACTCACGGCATCATCAGGCCGGCCATGGAGGTCACGCCCACTGACGGCCCTGCCAGGCAGGGTCATGAGCCCGAGACCACTCATGCCTGGTCCAGCATGGGTAATCCGGTCTTGGGGTTTGACACCAGCAAATCTACGGAACGATGCAGGGGCAAGGCTGGCGACAGAGCTCCATCGCGGAAGACCGCAGCATTTCGTCAGCGACACGCGAAGCATCGCCGAAATACAAAGTTATCCATGATGCTTCGAATCTTGCTGTAGGTGACCAGCAAACCGCAGATTCACTGTGAGCTACCAGGCACGAGAAGATCTAGCATATTCATCCACGGCCAAATAGCCAAAACATTAATCAGCGAATGACCAACGCCTACAACGCAAGAATATGACATGGGGGTGTTACAACCTTGTATTTTTATGTGTGCAAGCCACACTCCTTGCAGCATTAAATGAGATAACAGATGTTGAATATGCGCGAAGACTTGATAGAATGACCGTGAAGCTAAAGTTGCTAACCTTAGAAACAGTTCGTGAAGGAAAAGCTACATGGCTACTGCAACCTGTCAAGATCTGGCAAATAGAAAATGATCATGGTATTCCGAAGGTCATTACACGATTACAGCCCTTCGGGGACATCTTTAGCCACACAGCGTCCAGACACAGGTCGCTTGAACAGAGCGGTCAACCCAGGATACCCACTATACCAGCAAGCGCATGTGTCGCTACCCAAGACAGGTCGGTCAATGATTGCCATGGTATCTGTACAGGTCACGATACCCTCATTTTCGAACCACCGATCAGCCCGGCTTCCATGGCCGAAGGAGACGATGTAAGCTCGGCATTCTTCATCCAGAATGGCTCCATTCACATACAGTCCACAGCTCCTCAATATGGACTCAAATCTCAAGCGACAGTATTCCTTCTGTTCTTCCAGAGTCTGGCCTTTCGCAAGTGAGACAGCGCCCCGACATGCCTGGCGCGTGTATGCAACGTCAAGGAATAAATATTCGCCTTCGTACTCGATATTGATACCTACCGACCACCTTAAAGTGGTTCGCATACTTAATCCCGAAATAGGAGCCGCAATTATTGTGTTCAGAAGTTCTTCATCAGAACAAAAGTTCTCAATACTTTGCCTAACAAATGACTGTGGAATAGTAAGGTTCGCAAAGGAGCACTGGGGGCTAAATCGCATCACTCTAGAACTAGATGGTGAAGGAGCAAAGGAAGATAGAGATAATGAGTGCGGCTGCGTGTCTCTACTTGGTTCAGGACTTGATATCGATGGGACCAGCGTCCAGGCGTGTGAAGAAGGGGGTTGCGTGAAGTCTGGGGTACCTGACGCGTCAGAAGAAGGGATCCAGGGTGTAGAAGGCTGTGACGTTGTGGAGTAGGAATCACTTTGGTGTGTTGGAGGTTGCTGGCGAGTTGAAGATGCTGCGGTACAGGTGCAAGAGCTACTAGCTCGTGCCGACAACGTGATCGTAAGTAATGAGAGAAGTGTGATGAAGGTCATTTTCGAGGCATTGACGGCAAATGTCTAAAATTTAGCGGCTTGGAATAGCTATTTATGAGGCTTTCATCTGTGAACGCTCCTCACACCCAAGGAAATATTGGGACTAGGGACCCATCGTAGTGAGTCACATCTCATCTGCAAAAAGCCTAGTTTCAGGACTGTTCTTGCAACCGTAAGGTAGGGCCTTTTTTGGCGCTTGTCAACATCCCTGTTCAAAGGGCCAGTGAGCTTTCGGGCCCCTAAAGATGTCCGCGGTTGGTTCACCTGATCGCCCAAGACCCATTCTTTGTGCCTGTAGTAAAGTACATACAAGGAAAGCTGATCGTTTTGTTTCCTTCTTAGAAAATATTCTCAGCTTGATCAGTGTTCACTGTAATGCTCCTTATCCCAGGGCACATTACTGCAAGAAAATTACGTCAACACAATGTCACCAGTCGCCGACTGCAGCAGCCCTTCTCGACCTACTATCCGGCTTGCTGAGGGCCCCGTGGACCAAATGTTCATCAAGAATGCAGTCACACTTGCGGACCAAAATCCTAAGTGGTCAGGGGTCTTCTTCGCTAAGTTCCTTGGTGGATACTATGAGCAAGTAGCACTGGGAAATTGCAGCGATGAAGGGGATGCTGCAATGGAGTCTTCGTCCTTGCGGGATCCTGAAACCGAGATCCTACTTCACAGGATGTATCTCCGCGCCGCTGAAAACTATCGCCAGTGTCACCAGCTTCAAGACGCAGCTACTGATCTCGAAGTGGCTGGGATTGACGGCTCAGCCTACCTTACTGATCTTGTTGAAGTCCTCAAGCGGAACAGCTGGGCCCAAGCTGAGATTGCAGCTGGCATAATCCGAGATGCTCGATGCCTAAAGCGGCTCCGTATAGAGCAGTCGACTCGGAAGTAGTCAACGACCTTGGCCGTTCCCTAATCACAAGGCAGAACTGTAGCGAACGAGTATTTGCCTGCAATCTAGTAACATTTCATGTCGAATTGCAGAGTTAGGTGCCATCAATGCCTCAGACGTAGTAGACCAACGTGCCAGATTCTAGAAAATACGCAACGATTATCACTCCTGGAGCTAGGCAGCCCTGCATGAAAACAGTGCAAAGGTTTCGGATTTTCCAGAGGGAGAAATGCCGCAGGGTATTGAATGATGAGCCGCACGGGAGAGTAATGCCGCACTTGGGCACCTAAAATTAAGGATAGAACATATTCTATGGTGATTGACTACCAAGTATAGTGGGTCAAGGAAGCGGATCAGAAATCAACTGCTGGTACTTATCCCAAGCTTGGTGAAGCCACCCGAACCCCCCATCTCCTTCAATTGAAGGTCGACCGTCCCATTCAAAAAACATCCATGACACTGGTTGCCCGTTCACCCTCACCATAGTACAGTGAATTCGGAAACTTCCCTTATGGCGACCAGCCAGGGCAGAAACACCTTCACAGAAGTGTTCTCTTTCAGTCAGCGCAGTGCTGGTTTCCCGATGCTCTATCGTACGAACCCCCCAGCTAGTGGCATTCTCATCCCCCTCGTCATAGTTGTACATGAGATAGCTCCTCATGCAATCTGAATCCTCGAATAGAAGGGCGTTGTAAACACTAGTGACAGCTGTAGCGTCATCTTGCTTTGCCCACGCCCAGATGTTTATAATGATGCTGGAGTCGTTTAATTTGGCCTCACAAGTGGCTTCGTTGTACGAATGGGGAAGAAGAATGGCTCGGAGATCAGAAGTATCAAGATCGTACTGCAAGTCTCCATCCCATTCCAAACATACCAGTGCAAGATAAATCACCTCGCCTGAGAGATCTTCGCCGTCATAAAGAGCTTTCAGTCGTGGGCCGAGAAGTATCCAAGTGCCGGGAAGAGCGCATCGGACTATTTTAGACCAAACGAGCCCATGCACGCGCGCTCTAGTATCGGTTAAACTGATCAGCATACTGGAAAATCGGGTTGAAATGTGGTCCAGTTTCTAGAGTGACTTGGTACGGGGCCGTCACTTATGTGCTTCATGAGAACGTAGGTCCAGGAATCTGGCCCTCTGCGGGCCTCGCGATGCACGCGTCGCATCCTAGACTCAGGACCGTAGCTGGGGCCTGCTCGATAATTATCTCCCCTACGACATCCACGCGTGTCATGGATGGTCCCCACCAGTATGCAGCGCCTCTTTGGAATTGCCCTTATCTGGGGTCCTCGTCTCGGTCACATTATGCCCGGCCTGTTTTTTTCACGATTTCTAGCTGCTGACCTTACGAGGTGATTAGCGCGGGATATGTGTTGCCTAAAGGCGCGGCTATTACAGAAATTCGCCCAGTCATGACTCGGAATACATACAGCCGTTGCGGCAATCAGTCTTATTCAGTCAAGCGGAGCATAAGTTAGACAGCAGTGGGAGTCCCGGGCCGTAATCTATGTTATTTAGCCACCGATTTCCATTTTTGGCCGCGTTTGATGCTCCCCCAACCTTTGAAGAGTCCATTCTGTAACATAACTCCCGATGCTTCAGATGCTGCTATCCTTTGAGAACTACTCGGTCTCGGAGTGGCATCACGTCTAGCAGGAGTAAATGGCAGAAGGAATAAGCAAGCAGGATTTTAAGATCATAAGGCATCAGGGATCACTCGAGTGCCGTTGAATAAGGACTCGTTGTCGGACCTCGAGAAGTATTGGTCTCGAGAGACTCCATAGATGAGCGTCGACACTGAAATGGGGATGTTACAAGACCGGGCGACTTTCCCCCTTCATTGAAACAGCCGCGAGCCTTGCGTGAACACACTATCAAGCGCAGCAGCTACAGTGGCACACTCGCACTATAGATTTAAAGTTCGTTAGGTTAGATAGCCGGTAGAGAGAGTTTGTTTGGCAGGAGGAGGGCGTTAGTACGACGGCCGAAAAATTGGGTGTTGATTGGTGTGTTACAGGGCCGCGAAGACAAGACACGACTGCAGCTGTTCACTTGGAGGTTGATGTTTTGTGTTCCAAGATGAATGGTGTGCGAATGCGTTCCGCCTACCCTCTACCGACTCTGCGGAACTTTCGGGCTCAAATTTTGCGTGGTTCGAGATATCGAATGTGGTAGTTTACTTTGATTGTATATTTACGCTTACGTTCGCCATCCCACTCATCTCGCCATTCGCAATTCGGGTCACGGTTTCCACCGGTATTCCACATACTACGAACCCATATTTTGGTGTGCTGATAGGGCACATGACTGTGATCCCTCCTGGAACATGGATAGGTTGCATCAGCTTCATGAACACAAAAGTGCAGCTACAGCTGTAATCAAAGTTGCCAAAACCTTCCGCGTGGTTCTAGTCGATGAGCCTCAGATGCGTCTTCCTTCTCCTATTGAAGACATCCAATTTCGTGAGGTGATCAATCATTGATGATGATGCTGGGGACTCAATTGATGATCATAAATCTTCTCGGGCGCCGGGCTGACTATCGTCGGCCTGATTGGGATAGGAACCAGTGGGGGGCCATTGGTAGCGGACTTGTCAAAAGGGGAAACAACAAGTGGTACAGAGGAGTAGTTTTCCGCGTCAGAAGCCGAACTGACAGTGGCCTCGCTGATTTGTCGAAGATGACCAGTATCGTGGTTGCTTATGCTGGAGACCGTGGGCCATACGCGATCCCTCATTCCAACGATCGTGTCAACAGGACTGGCAACACCATGGGCTGGGGACTCTGCGAGGTTGTAGGGGCCAAGTACACCCGATGAATCGGAGGGGGACAAAATCTCCTTGTCTGAGACAGAGCCATAATAGTATGTTGGCTGGATAGACGTTGGATAAGGCGAAGTGCCGAAGTGCGTATGCTTGTCGATAATTTCCATGGGAGACAGACCTGTGTCGGAAAGCTCAGGGGGTCTTGAGGTATCTGAGCGGTGGATGTCAGTCTACTGTTGCTGAATTGGAGAGTGTAAGAATCACCATGGAGCTCTGCAAAGGGGGTGCCCATCATTTCGGAATGTGGCATGGCAAGTGGAGTTGGGATTGGAGATGAAGTCGGTTCTTGCGCCACTGGTACGTCGGGGTTGGAGGGCGTGTCAACCTCCGTCGTGACTGTGCGAGTCTTTTCTTCGGTTGGCTGGCCTCTGATCCAGGACAGAATACGGTTGCCATTATACTCGGTGTGAGTGCCCCGACGGCGAATCTTGCGCCTACGCCAAAGGCAGACGCTTCCGAGAAACGCAGTAACGCAGACCAGTCCCAGTGTGACTCCCAGGGTAGGGCCAATCCATCTTGGCATGCCGCCGCCGCCGCCGGAATCGTCCGTGCTGTCTCTTCCATCACTGCCTGGCGTAAAGCGCGGTCGGTCGGCCTCGGTGGCTCTTGAGTAGGGATACCAAGTTTGGATCTTCGACGTCGGGTATGATACGGCAAAGACATTGGCTAGTCCATCATCAGACCACCCCAAAGGGCTGGGAGCCGTCAAGATGGCTCCTCCTGCAGCACCGCCGCCAATGACTTCCCTTACGGCCGCGGGAACGCCATAGTCAGCGTGTCTCTCTGGGTCGTAGCTTTCCATCCAATGGCCACTTGTCAAGTTGTAGACCTGAATGAGATCAGGAAGGCATGTGAGATGATCGCCAGCCTCCGAGGTCATTCCGCCAATGACCATCATCTGGTCGGGATAAGGCATAAAGCATTTGTGCCCGTTCCGGCCACGACCTGGCCTACCGTCGCTGAGCCTGGTCCAGGTGAAGGAGGGAAGGGACAGGACCCAGATCTCATCGTTCATCTCCACTTTGGGGTCCACGCCGGGATAGCCTCCGTAAATATATATGTTGAAGCTGGACTGGTCTTGGGCGGGAGCCACCACAGCACATGCTCTCGCGCGCGCCGTCGGACCGTCTGAAGTAGCCTGTCTGTACCAGGTGTTGTTGGCGATATCATAGATGTCGACCGTACTCATGAACTCGTCGCTCTCTGCCTTCTGTATACCTGTCAACACCGATTTTGAGCGGAGCCGCAAAGACCCTAATGACTTACACTTTGTGTGGGATTTTCTGACTTGCGGGCGCTTGTCAACCAGTCAGGGTAGGTGACGCCTCCAACAACCACCAGGATGCCTTGTTCCCCCACCGGAACCCAAACCACTTCAGGGTTCGCCCGGCTTCGAATTCCATCCGGCAAGGTATTATTGGTCCATTCAAGAGTTGTCTGCGTTGCCATGTCGAGAGTGAGAAGAGTGTTCGAGGTGTTGAGGGCATTTTGTGAGACGTTTGTGTTTCGTTGGAAGACTGGGCCCCAGTCTGGTGCTCGAAGCCCGCCGAAGTACCATGCCATATTCTCAGACGGCGCGCTGACCGCTCCACCGTAGGCGACGTATCGTGTCATACCACTCGGAAGCGTATTCGAGACGAACCCTGCCTCGAACTGATTCCTTACCGGGCCGTATTGATAGGCCTGGTAGGTCAGTGCATCGTCTGCACGCGGGGGCTGATAAGCATCCGTTTTCTTGACCAAGCCTCCATACAGCGACAGCTGGGCACTGTTGACGAGCATGGCCCCGTCATAGTAATTCGGTGCGTCGTTGTTGGTGTTTCCTACGCCGCCACGGGCTTTGGAGATCGTGCCGAAGAGTGCCGTGAAGTTGTCGGACGACTGGAATGGCTGGCTGAAATTCAGAGTGTACATGAGGCCGAGAGGGTTTTCTGACAGGCCGTCAATGCAAGCCGGGATGGTGAAGATACACTGCCACTGACCTTGTTGTTCAGGGGGGCCATACTGTCCGTTCGAAAGCCCTTGGCTCCAGTACAGGAAGCCACCGTCGAGGTACACTGTGTCTCTGATAACGGCGCCTGAAGGACGAATTAGCAAAGGCAGGTCAGAGAACACGGTCGATCGGAGCGAACAAACCTCTTGGTTGCGCCCATAGACACATCGAGGCATTGACTTGGTTTTCGGTCCACCCCTCGAACTGACCGAACACCACCCTGGAAAAGGCGGCGACGAAGCAGATGGCCAGCATGCGAACCATGGCTGGCAGGGAGTTTCCGATGTTGGGCACGAAACAAGTGCGGCATGAGGATTTCTGCACTGCGAGAGTCCAGCCCATCTTCCTGCGCCAGATGCTGCGTGTGACGACTCCGGGTGCAGGCAGCCAATGCAGGTGTGCTGTCCTGATCTGGGCACCTACTGCTACCAGACGATCAGGGCACTTGCGGGTCACATCAGTATCTGTTGTAAGCCCCCACCGCTGTATGGCGTTTCTGATCGGCCTTGTGGAAGGCTCGTCAGCACGGGCAAATTGAGGATCCACGAACCAACAGGCAATCGGGGTGTTCGGCAGATACCCATGGCCATGCCGCACATTCTCTTGGGGGAGGACGGCCAAGCGAAAGATGACCCCACGGAGCTGCTGACCAAACAGGGAGAGCCAGGACCAGGCTGGGTAAGGGTGCCGTCCTTCTGGACACGGCGGTTAGAGGAACAGTACAGAGCACTCATCGGCTGGACCGAGGAAGGGCAATTCTCGGACATCGGAGGATGACGACCACCGAGAGCAGTTGGTCATTTCGGCAAGTCTTCAAGGATGTTGCTTAGTCCTTTTCACAGGGGACATGCCAGATTTGATGTGCCGTAGTCTGCATGGGAGGTGGGGTTAGGCTACGAGTAGTGGGGCGAGAACCCTCAGTCAATGCGAACATGGTCACAACGGGCACTAGCGCGGGGTAGGACTACTCACAATGATCGAGTCAGGAAGATACCCTACATTCGTGGCGGGTCACATGACGGAATCTCGAGCGCAAGGCCCCGGTCGTGCGCCCGGAAGCTACGGGACTGTCGCTTTGTTTCCAGAGTAGGACAAGCTGGATGTTGATCTGGTTGGGGCTGTGGGACGAAAGAGGCAGTTGGCGCTAGCACCACAGCTGTTTTAGTGGACACAGCAGTTAAAAGCGACGATCAACTTTTTCCGAGGAAGCTTCCGCGTCCCTCTCGGGCCAACAGCCAACGACCGACCACCAACGACCAACCACCAACGTCCAATCTATTGACCGATGACAAATGCAAACCCTTCATTTCTCTTGATTGCCGCAGTCTTCGTAATCCTCACGTCTAGTATCTGACAGAAACGAAAAATATGACAGCCCGTCGCCTATTGCGATATGGGCCTGTAGCTTGATGGCCCCGAACACCATGTAGGGCCTCTTGACTCGTGTGAGGGGACCAGCGACCCTCGTCATAGGATCGATGGCGAGGGCAACCCTCAGGGCACCGGCTATCTATCTCATCGGTGCAACGGAGCAGCATCGGAAGCGATCGTCACTATTGCTTGCGCCCCGCGCGATAACATGGACCCTCCAATCAGCCTGCTCTTGCCTTCACCAGTCCTCGACCAACATCCGAGAGGAGTCAGTCATGGGACCAAAAGCTCGAACAAAAAGTCAGTCAATGAATCGCAGCGTGGGTATGTATGCTGCCACCCGGTCGTCTTGTTGGCGACTTTGGACCCCGTAATGACTGTGGCCGGAAAGACGCAGTATCAACATCATCCCCGCAGTCCTAGCTGTAGGCTCATGTGAGAAACACAGTCCTCCATACTCCTTGTAGGCCACGTACGCTTCGCCAAGATGTCACGAAGGCCAGCTCAGGCTGGTGTGGAAGACGCTAGCCACGGAGATTGGACGTCCCGGAATCACCCATCTCGGGCATCATCCTCTTGTACAGCGATGCTCGGCAAGCGAGGCCCTTTGAGTCATGCCATATGGCAAGCAAGTTGAGCCGGTATCAAACGTCAGGTTCCAACACAACGGATAAGTAGGCCGAGAGACGTATAGCGTGCAGAAGTATGATTACGGGTGGATCAATATTCCCTGACGATCGCGACCACAGGGTATAGACTGTCGAGTCTTGATGAACTTTCAGTCAAGTCTCCAGGTCATGGAAGTTCATGTCCACTATACACCGCAGCGTCCTTGCCACGGGATGTACATAAGATGGGAAATATCAGGCGCCGTTGTCGAACACATCCCGCCTCGTTCTTGTCCCAGACCTATGCACCCTTTGTACTCGCCCACAATGAGATGGCACATCCTGACCGCCGGCGTGTTCGCGGCTCTTGTCGACTCAACACCACAATATGACCTGTGTGCCGGTTACTGTTCTATCAAGGCTGGCTACTCTTCCATCCCCACTTCAGGACAGTGGTATGTATCGCATCCCGTTCGAATGGACGCCAACAGTGCCGGCGGACGTACCGCTGATTTTTCAAAGCTCTCCCGAGACGACGTATGTGACGGAGACAGTCGTCGAGACCAGAACTGTCACTGAAACCGAGAATGTTGCCACCACCGTGTAGTAAGTCGATGTACCGTGGCCTTGCCTGAAAGCAAACGCGTCGCTAACATCTATCCTAGCGAACCGACGACTGAGCGTATCACCTTGATCGCGATCTCGACCGTTTACATCACGGATGACTACACGGCCACGGAGGTTGGGACCTAGAGCACCGTGTTGTCAGGGATAACATCCTATCCGGCCACGATCACTACATCTGTGTGAGTCTCAGGCCGATACTCAGAGAATTCCTACGCGTTTTTCTGACCTATGACAGCTGCTCACCTACGCCCGTATATGGCCTCTCCCTGGGAGTTGACCAAGAGCTTGTCGACCTCGAGCTGGGTACCCTGGACCGGCAGACGGACTGCACTTACTATACGACAACAATCTGGACGACGGCCGCGGTTGAGACGAGTGGCAACATTGCGTCGACCACTCACGTTCAAGTCTCTTCGTCGCCAGACCATTCAACGGAAGATGTGACGCAAGTCACCACCAGCACGTTGCCCCGTCCTGTTGACTCTTCTGCCCCTACGTATGCCTCCCATGCGTCCTCGGCTGCCACCACATCACCGCATGCCCTGCTCCGACAAATAATCCGAGAAGAAATCTGGAAAGCCCGTATGACCGGACCTCCAACAGAACCTTTGGCTGCGTGCCTGGCTTTGTTTGTAATCCGCCAAAGCCTCCGGGATGCAACCTCTGGGCCGACTCTCCGGCTGACAATTACGTATGTGAACTGAGATACTGTATCCACTCCCCGCCCTATTCAACAGTCCACCGGCCAGAGGGCGAAACGGGACGCGTTCCGTTGGATGAAGAGTACTTCAACCTGAACGCACATGCCTTTGGTCTCCCATACTCCATCTTCGAATCCTACAGCATGGACAAGAACGAGTATGCCGAGGCGAACACCATGACAACTGGGAATCGGGTTTCTGCGATGGATCTCTCAGTGCTCCCAACCCCTTCGTCTCTCCCTGTGCAACCCGCGCCCCCTCCCAGGCGTGGTCTGCCAAGGCACGAGCAGCGCCAAGAAGACGATGGACCAACGGCTCCTGCGGTGTGTTTTGACGACTGCAACAACTGCTACAAGGAAGCACTAGCAGTAGGCAAGTCCCCTGCGCTCTGCGTAGCCAGCTCCCAGTTTCAGCAGGACTTCCAGCTCTGCATATCCTGCATCGACGCGAACGCAGATGATGGGCCCGCAATCCGCCGCCTCTACGTCGACCAGAAGTTCGGTCAGTTTTTAAACTTCTGCAAAGGCCTGGAGCCGGTTCCGGCAAACTCTACGTCGTGGATGGTTACTCCTTCTGGACCAATCGCCACTTCAAAGCTCGTCACTGAGACCCAATCGCAACTACCTGGCGAAACAATCACACCTGTCCAGCCGATTGACCTGACGCCAACCCCGACACCGAGCACCAAGGAGACCTTCGGAGTCAGTACCACTGATGCTCCTCAGGAGACCTCCAACTCCGACGCCTCTCGCTCTGGTCGGCCAACCTCCTCCATTTCTGGCACCGAAGCAGCCCAATCAACGACGGAGTCCAGGTCGCTGTCTGTGGACCAAGACAGCCCAAGGGAGACAATCGCGGAGCCAGAATCAACGTCTGTAGATCGAGACCATCGTCCTGAGACTACTGTCCTGGATAGCCCAGCCCCGGAGGCGACCGTCAACCCAGGTACGACTTCCATCGACCAGGGAGGGCCTGGGTCTAGACCCGAAGGCGCCACGACCGAAGCCCAGCCGAGTCAAAGTGGTCAAAGCAGGGATCGCATAGAGACAATCAACCTTGACGATCCTACCACGAACTCAGCAACCGACTCCCTCGAAGCAACTCCGACCAGGTCGAGAGGCTTTTCATCATCCGCAATAGCAACCCCCAGTAATGATGCCGGGCCTGGAGGAGCGCCCGATAGCGCGACCCCGACACAGAGCGAAGCCGTGGGAGAACAGTCAACGGCTGCCACGCCGTCTTTTGTGACGGGCGCATCATCGTACCTCCACATTCCGGTTCTCTGGGTGCTTGCACCACTAGTAACCGCCATCTTCACCCACCGGCTACTCTAGGCCAACGTGTGCATCTAGTAAGCCTGAAACACAGGAAGGCGGACAGGCGGCCGACAAGTAGTAATGGAGGGCGACGGAAATGAAGGATGCTCACGAGGCCTCAATTACTACGCGTCTGTAATACATAAATCCTAATTCTATCTCCACCCGCATGTTTGATGTGATTCCCACCTCAGAAAGTCGTTGAGATCATGCCCAAGATTGTAACCCATTAGAACGAAGTCTTGGTGGTCGCCATGGCCCAAGAATGTGAGATCTATCATGGGACTCTGCGGCGGGCTCCACATCTCGCTGTCACGGTCGCTGCTGCAATCCGTCTCCGACCGTCTCATTGACATCGACGATCGTACCTGGCAACCGGGCTGGTCCCTTAACAGCGTCGGCGAGCCGGCGGCTTCCTCGTCGACAAACCCGCGCTGCAAGTCCCTCGCCACCGGAATAGAAAGTTCCAGGTCCGGGCAGGTGGCATATGGGGGGGCAGAGCTGATCCCAGTAGTTCTCGCGCTGGAGTGCACCATATTCGCCAGCCCGGCTGGAGCGGACTGTCTGGCGCGCACGAATCTGCCAGCCGACTCGAAGCCGAAGTCGTCGAACCAGGCTGTGATGTCATCAAACTCATCATCATCGGTGCGGCGCGTGAGGTCTGAGCCGCCTGAGACGAGATCGCCTGCTCCGCCAAGGATGGCGACTTGAAAGGCCGTCCAGTCTAGAGTCTTATCAGGCATGATGTCTGCACAAAGTATAGACTCGGGCTTGGGGATTCGAATGCGGCCATGACTGAACGTCGGAACATTGATGGTGCAGGGCGTCGAGTGGAGGAATATGAACTCAGCATCCTCTGAAGGGGCAGAGCGGTGTGTTGGTCGAAAATGGCCTTTCGATAGATGATGGGGAGGTTGGAGTGGTAGTGTAGGAACTGTCGCATCTGCTGCAAGGGTCGTTGCGACACCAGGGGATGCTAGACGTGCCTTGAGGTTTTGTCGATGGAAATCGTCGATCTTTGCCCTGCTACTCTCATGCACATTGGTGGTCGGGAGTGTATCGGGGGATGGAATTCCGCGGCACCAGTGCTTGCTGCGAGGTCGTGCAGGAACAGGACGCCTCGATATGATCTCATCGGCCTCAATCTTTCCAAGCAAGTGCCATTTGATCATGACCGTCACATTGTTGAGGGTCTTGCGCGCAGCGAAATCGCCCGTCGGCCACTTTGCCGGCTTAGACGGCTTGTGCCCGACTATCAGTGCGGAAGCAGCTGGCATTGGTACTATCGAGGATGAAGCCATGGTGGGGGTTGCCACTTGTGTGAAGATGGGGTACAGCGAATAAGCGGGAAAATAGATACTGAAATGTAGTGACAGGATGGTTAACAAGTGTCTGCATGTTGCATAGCATAGAATATGCCATTTGTAATGAGACGTTGAGAGCAGCCTACGTTTGTTCTTATATCACCAACCACTGAAGCCGATGATCAAGCCGATGATCTCGACGATTGCAGGTCCGTAAATGGACGTGCATGCATTTATTTTTATCACGTCCTTTCAGAAGACCATGGGCTGTGCAACGGCGGGGCATATCCCTGCGCCCACAGCACAATGGGTTAGCGTTGGAGTACCGGAGACCATTCCGGACTCGCGGCAGCTGGTTTCCATTAATGGCCAAGTTCCTGGACCTGAAAGAGCCTGTGGATCCTGGAGGTCCTGAATCTGGCCGACCAAAATAGGCCTTGGACGTTGATTCAGGCTAACCAACCGTCTCCCACAGACTAGTACATCGTGCACCAACGAACAGGCCCCGGGAATGACCTTTCATGTGTTCCCATCTTCTGTCGGATGGCCCCTCAGAATGTCCCTGTCAATGAGATTTGACTTTGTCACCTGCCTTTGCTTCCAACGATTTATGGATCAATTCATGACGCTGCACTTCGTACTCATCCCAGCGTTGTGTTGGGGTCAATCCCTGAATACGTGTGAAAGCCTGCCACGTTAAGCAAGGGTTGTCCTGGCGAGCCTTCAAGAACAAGACTTTCTTGACTCGATATCGCGCAACATAGGCAATGATCAAGCCTAAGAACAGAGCCCCGGCTACTATCGGCGTTATCACCAAGGCCGTTGTGCGTAGTGGCCTAGCCGCTGCTTGCTCCAGGGCGCCACAGTGGGTGGACAGGAGAGGCGCCATTCCAGTCTCTGTAGGGTATGGCGCAGCACCATGTAACATCGTCGAGTAGAATACACAAGAGATGTCTTCCACAAACGGCACGCTTCCTTATGTACCTGGACGGCACCAAAGCCCAGTCTTCGTGCTGGTCCCTGCTTTGTTCCTTTCACGGAGCCTTGACTTAGGCCCAATATCCACCACCTGGTCCAGGAATACTTAAGCCGAGCTTCCCTACCATCTATTACGTCCCTCGTAGTTCTAGAGAAACACTCCTGAGCACAGTAACGGGCCAGAATGAGATCTGTCGTAATTGGTGTGATGGCTTTGGCCGCGGCATTTGCCCGGGTCCAGGCTCAGTCTGGCTGCAGCAGTGCCCTCTCTTCTGAGACGGGGAGTCACGACAAGAGCAGCCTGACTGCTCTCCCCTCACCAACTTCAAGCTGTAGCTGCCTTGATAGGCCCACAGCAGACCCCTCCGCTCAATCCTCAAGCATGGTCTTGGGCTCGGACAAAGCCATCTCGTCCAAAGATTGGATTGTCTCGTCTTCCATCATACCACACTCCACCTCCACAACCCCTGTCGCGTCTACCACCCACTCGCGACAGCCTTCTACTCCAAGTAAACCGCCGGCTGGCTCAGTGCGGGTTGAATTTATGCTTGAGGACACCCGGCATCGAGAGGACATTCAGGTGAAAAACTCCGGTGCGCAGCCTAAAAAGGTACGTTTCATGGCGTGCAATGGGAGAGTTGTCAGCAACAACGGCCTCGGTCTGGTTCAGTGTAATGTGGAGATCAATCATGGCTATTTCAACTACGAATCGGTCCCCGCCTTTACAACGCATTTTCCAGTGTCCTTTGATAGACCACAGAACGTCACCGGTGTCAAGTGCTACAAGATATGATGGAAACAGGGGGAAGACTGATGATCACCTAATTGAAGTTACGTTCACTGGATCAATGTGTCGATCAATATGCTCTCAAATTGACTTTGACACGGACAGGCTGCTGTGTCGGTGGTTGCTCCAGGTTTCTTTTCGATTAGGCTTCTGCATTTGTTTCGTGGCGTACTGTATTTCACGTGGAAAGCCTGTCTAGGGTTTCATGGATATGGATAGAAATGGCTAATTCTATTGTGCTTGTTCTCAAGTTGGTCTTTGCGCTAGTAACATCTTCCTTCTTATTCAACACTGGATGCGCGATAACTTGATTCCCGCACGCGTGCCCCCAGACGCCCCATACTGGCTGATGATGAAGAGTTCTAACGGTGAAGCCGAGAGTCTAGAGATATTGAGCTTGATGGGTTGCTGGCATTTATCAAGAACCGCGCACTAACCAACAAGACGTCTACGACCTTGATCCTCCACTCGTTCTTCATGGCATCTACATTTCCCAGCCCAATATCTTAGGGATGCTCGAGCCGAGCTGTTTCCTACCCTCGTGACGCTTAAGACTCCCAGCCCTACACCCATCGTCCTGGCCGGCTAGACCAGGCCATACCACGACTGTCTACGCCGCCTGCGGCTGGTCACCCAAGGCACCCCCCCAAGTCTAATCCCACCGCCATTCCATGTCGCCAGCGCATGGGCACTTTCCATTCAAAGGGAGTCTCGAAGACAGAATTTCGTTGGCTAAGCAGCGCGGGTGCATCGGACACCTCCCACAGCGCTTGACGACAATATTCTCCCACGTGTGAAAGGCCTCTTGACAGACGAAGCAGCCCTTGTCACCGAAAACCTCACGTAGGATCAAAACAGGAAAAATAGACTGAGGGTCGAATCGTTCTGTGGACTGCTGTATTTGAAGCATGTTTTGGAGGATGCGGGCGTGCGCAGCAGGCTGTCGTCGTTCCAAATCCGAAACAGCCTGGCGCCTCAGCGACTCTGGAGCATCATTCAGTGCCATGGCCAGAGTCATTTCGTCCCGGTGTATTTGGCTCAGAATGCCAATCAATTGAGACTTCGTTTTACACTCTTGGAGCAGTGAAAATAGCTCCAGCCTGGCATCGAGGCCATCTTTGAGGTCTTCGCGATATCGCTGGCGCTTGACCTGGTGCTCTCCGTCGCTCTCAAGAGAGAGCCTTCGCTTGCGGCTTACGTCGCCAGGCCTCTGGCGTTTGGCGCGGTGATCGTCAATATCATCCGAGTGACCACGCTTGCGGCTGGGCGACTCCTCCGCTAAGGGTCCACCCTGATCACTAGACCCGGCAAGTTGTTGAGAAGCAGCAAGAGCCTTGATCGCTCTGGAAAGCCGTTGCTGGAAATTGCGTGATGCGTCCCACGATTCCATTGCGTACGTTCTGGCTTGAAGTCATGCAATTACACTATTGTATGATCGTGCCAATGATGGAGGTTCCACGCTCTATATACAGCGCATCTTGAATGTAAAGACTGAATCCGAGACTCGAATGGCATGTTTATGCCATTTCTCGGGCCTTTATTCCGTGACCTCGATTTAGGCCCTGCCACTGAAGTATCACGCAGCCCGGCGCTAAAGGACTCGCCAGGATGTTATTTCAGGCACAGCACATTGTACCGCAGTTCCGCAGCTACCGTGTTGCGCCGCTGCAGGTATCTTAATCGTAACGATCACTGTGGATAGAGAGCTGTCCTGGTTAAGCTGGATATTAAGTCATCGGAAGCTTTAAGCCGGCTACGGGCGGGACACGAGCAAGCCACTACACCGACATATCTCCGACATCTCTTTGAAAGAATGGTAATGTGTGCTGACATTGTACATACGGAACTCAGAGCCATTTTGCCACCTCTTGGATGACATGCAGGGTGGCGTGAAGCCAACAGCCAGTTGTCTCGCAATAGGACTATAACTAGCTGGGCAGGCAATCAAGACAAAATCGTTCGTGACGGCCTTCCCTTTCCCGGATTGAGGCACAGAAGTGTGCATTAAATCACAAGCCCCATCCCTCGAGTGGCCTGTCGCCAGGCAATGTATCGAGAGCCCCTGTGAGATCTTCGTCCATGAGCGGACTGTGCTCACTCCTGCAGTTATCAATGGTACTTGGCGTAACACCCGGGCAAGAGTGAATGCCCCCAAACCCCACATTGCAGGTGTTGATGACATTCTGGAGTACGTTCTCATCCCACGCCGCTAGAAAGTCCGCGTGAGAGCTGTAGCCAGAAACATCCCCGTTGGATAGGACAAATGGCTGAGTGCCCTGGCCCTGATGCCAGCGGCCCTTGAATGCCGGCGTGTTCCAATAGACCTCGACTTGCATGTGTGGGACGCGGACCCACCCCTGTGGGCAGTTGTACTTCGTGCCTTGGATGGCGGGGAACGCCATATTGGTTTGGTACTCATCCAGTCGTTTGCTGGGGTCGTAGCAATACGGCATGTGAATATCCGCCCTTAAAGGAGACGCGAAACCGTCACAGTCAACGTTGGAAGGTAGTATATGTGTGCGACGTCCTTTGCGGTCACTGTTCGATAGCAGGGTAAGGAAAATGCGATCTTGCTGAGCTGATCGATAACGACCTACACGCAATCGTATCTGTTCTTGTCCTTGGGCATGTAATGGAAGTCGGTCGTCACATGCTGCTATATCCGGTGTGGAACCTCCAACGGTTGTAGCAGCCCGGGGTCTTTTCCCTGTCTGCATGAGCTCTTCCGCAGGGCTTGCAATCTGCCCGGAATCGATCGACATCGGCCGACAAACCTGGCCACCAAAACCTCTCGGGGACCAGTCTGACTGTTTTGTTGCGCCCCGGGTGGGCTACATTGAGCCTGCCTGCAGTGGTTCTCCTTGACGACCAGTGTTCGGAGAATGCCCTCGTCCGGGACGATGATGCGCTGGTTCCGACAGACGACCCCTTCGTTCGTCGTCCAACCGTCGACCTTTTTCTCTGCCCTCTCTCGGTAGAGATGTGATTAGGGAGACGTCCTGTTAGTTCGGAGGACGGCGTCCAGCAACTCCCATCCCTCCGGTGCCCGGATAGTCTCCTTTCCAGAGCTGACCGAGGGCTCTATAGTTTCGGGCGTAATCAATGCTACTTCTGGGCCTCGCCCGGATTCGGGCTCTGTACGGGGGTCGGCCATGACTTCGTAGTCAACGGAGCTGATCACCAGGTCTTGACTCAGTAGCACTCTGTCCCATGGCGCCTCTCGTCGCGCCTTCTGGGTGGCTAGTTCGGACGACTTCCGCGACAGAGCATCCGCCACGACGTTCTCCCGCCCTGGACGGTAGGTGATCTTGAAGTCACAAGGCGCCGGGTCGTCTGCCCACCGTGCCTGCCTGCCATTGAGTCGTTGTTTGGTCGTGAAGTACTCGAGGGCTTTGTGGTCGGTGATGATTAGAAACTGCCGTTGGAGCCCCAAGAGCTCAGCGGCAAGTCTGCGACTATGTTGGCCAAAACCCCCAGAATCTCACTCAGTCTTTCCTAAAGAATGGTCAATTCCTGGTGGCGGACAAAATTGCCTTCCATAATTCGACACCACGCCCGTCCGAGTCATTTCAACGGCTACACGGGCGAAAAGAAGACCTGAGTACTAGGTAACGTGAATCAATTGGCTCTCTGGCTCGGCTCGGCCGTCAATATCTAATACTCTCTCGTGCTCTAATTTGCTTTTTATGTCTCGAATATACCAGCAGGTCGACCGATGGCGGCACCACGCTGTCGAGCGGCCGCGCCATCTGGCGAGTGTGACGAAGAAGCCCGTCCGAAACAACCTTGAGCTCCTCTAAACCGGCAGGAATGGGGAAAAGAGTGTCCCACTGCGGCGGCACGCTTGTATGCTGGCCCGTTCCATCTCCAAATTGTTGTCATGTTCTCGACTCTCCCCGAATCATCCTTTAGTTGCTGGGCTTCACGCCCAGGCTGTTGTGGTTGCGGAAGAACAAGACGCCCTTGCCGGCGCCCTGGGCGCCAGCGCTGGGCTCAACCCACTGGCACATGCGCTTTGATGTGTACAGGGCCTTGACGAAGCCCAGGGCACCGCCACGGGTGTCGGAGCGGTAGTGCCCGCCCATGACGGGCTTGATAGCCTCCGAGGCCTCGTCGGCATTGTAGAAGGCAATGCTGCTGACGTAGTGGTGCAGGACGTGCGTCTCGATGATACCGTGCATCAGCTGGCGGCCGATGAAGCCCATCTCGCGGTCAATGGTAGCGGCAGCGCCACGGACAAAGTTCCACTGCTCGCCGGTGTAGTGAGGGAGGGTGGGGTCGGTGTGCTGCAGGAAGGTGATGACAACTGGTCATGGTTAGCGTGGATGCCCTCTTCATTCACGGAAAGGCGACTTACCGAGCCAGTGGTTGACCCAGAGGTAGGGGATAAAGTACCAGACGCCGAGGTTGGCCCGGCCGAACGTGTTTCCGAGGAAGTAGAGGGCGGTGCCGGCGAGGATGAGGTCAACATCGGAGCCAATAATCTTCAGGGCATCTTTGTTCTCGTAGAGGGGGCTGCGGGGGTCGAGAGGTGACGCCGCCCAAGGAAGCCGTTTGGACTTGCCCTTGCCACGGCCCTCGCGCTGGCGCTCATGGTAGTTGTGGCCGGTGACGTTGTTGATGAGGTAGCTGGGCCAACCGATGAGCTGCTGACCGATGAGCCTGATCAGGGTGTAGATCGGGGTCTCCTCGGTGAGCTCGGCGAGCTCGTGGGCCATGATGCCGAGACGGCTGGCATGCTCCTCGCGAGTGCGGGGGACAAAGACCATGTCGCGCTCCATGTTGCCGGTGGCCTTGTGGTGCTTGCTGTGCGAGATCTGCCAGCTGAAGTAAGGGACGAGGAGAGAGGAGTGCAGGACCAGCCCGTCAAGTCGTTGATGAACCTGCTGTCCGAGAAGGCGCCGTGACCGCACTCGTGGGCAATGTCCCAGAGGCCGGTGCCGAACATGCCCTGGAGGACGGTGTACAGGCCCCAGAGGACAGTACGAGATGCGGTGTTGGGGATGTATTCTGCCGTGACGAAGTTATACCAGATTGTGAAAGTGGTGCCGAGGCAGAGGATATCACGGATGATGTAGTTGTAGCCCTTCAGGGCGGAGCGCTCGAAGCAGTGCTTGGGGATGGCATCGCGGATGTCCTTGATGGTGAAGTCGGGGACGGTGAACTCGTTGCCATTGGTGTCGAGGAGCTTGCCCATTGAGACGGTCTTCTCAGGCAGATTGTCCATTTCGGACATGGAGGAGAGGGAGGTGGACGAGGCCGAGGGCCGGGGCGAGTCGGAGGGAGACGCAACGGCGGTGGACGGCGAGGACAGGTCGGACTCGGTAGTGGTCGAGGTGACGGTGCGGCGCAGGACAGGATTCCTGACCGAGGCCGACGAGGTTGTTCGGGAAGCCATGGTGATGGATCTGGAGAGAGAGAGAACGGAGGGGGGAAGGAAAAAGGAGAGAAGCTGTGCAGTTGCCGAGGTCTCTTCTAGATATTCTTCGAGGAGCAAGCCACAAAGACACGATTGTCCACTCCAGGGCCGAATTGATCGTGGGCAGAGTGGAAGAAAGCTAGAGTGGGAAGAAAAGGAGTGCGTTTGAGGAGCTTGCAGAAGGTCACTGTTATTTAGATGCCCGGTCAAGGAGACCACGGCAAGACTCGCAGGTTGTTGGCCACTGCAGCTGGGTCGCAGGTCGGTCTGCAACGAGCTGGCTTGGCCTGAGATTTTGTTGAGCTTCCCTCCCAAACTGAACCCCCATGCGAGGGAGAACACTGACGAGAAAGCATGTGCAAGGACTCGCGATGGTCTACCGGCCGACCACTGGCGCATCTTCCGTCCCTCCCACAACTGTGAATATCGGTCCATTCTCGACTTTATTCATCGCCATGGTAGGAACATCCATTTGGGATTACGTTCTGATCCGTACATCTATATTCCTCCTGTCACTGATCGCGCCGCTCAGTACTCTTTATTCGCTAGCCAGAGTGCTATTTCCTCTCCCTCTACCATTCCCCGTCGGGCTTGAGGTATGGCTCGCCCTGGAAGCGGTGTTCTACCTGGTCTTCTATCTTCCGCGCCGAGCCTACCTTCAGAGAGCCGCGGTACATCCCCCGACCGCCTGTCGAGAAGACCGGCGGAGGCTTTTCCGAGAGTGCAACAACAACGTTCCAGACCCGGAACGGTACTTGACGAAGTGGTTCCAGGATGCGCCCTTGTCCGAGATCAAGCGAGAAAACATGAAGGAGTTTTTCCGGTGGGCGTTCTTGAACACCGGAGATGTTGACCCTGCACATGATGAGGAACTTGAGGAGTACGTCGGAGAGATGGAGAAGTTGTTGGGAAGGAAGCTGGAACCCGGGCACGGCAACGCCAAGTGTCTGAGATTGACGCTTGATAAAGTCGAGATGCTGCACCGGAGTTTGACTTGGTACCTGGTGAGTTCCTCTCTTGCAACCCCTATATCGGCAATAGGTGGTTGACTTGCATCATCGGAAAGTGTGTGTTTGTTGTCGACACAGTAGCGTGGGTCTATTTGCGCTACTACTCGTTCGAATTCCACGGCACCTCTGTCGCGGCGGTCTTCCCCTTGCGTCCCTTTACTCCATTCGCCACCAGTCGCTCCCCCGCCAAGACTCTTACTTACTGGCACCGGCCGCACACATCTAAGACGAGGCTTCCCGTCCTGTTCATTCATGGCATTGGCATCGGACTATACCAATACATAAATTTCTTAGCTGATCTCAACGCCGAAGGCAGCCAGAGTCCGTCGGATGGACAGGTAGGCATCATCGCGTTGGAGATCATGTCAGTGAGCTCTAGGATAACTGGCGAGGCAATGTCGAAAGATGAAATGTGCGACGAGGTTGCTTGCATATTGAAGGCACATGGATGGGAAAGGGTGGTGCTCGTGTCACATTCGTGAGTTCTCCATTCCAAGTTGCTATCTCTAATTGTGTTTAAGCCATATGTATATACTAATATAAGCCTTTAAAGCTACGGAAGTATAGTCACTACGCATCTCCTTCGCGCGCCACGGACCGCGAAGGTGATTGGCCCGATTTTGTTCGTTGACCCTGTGTCTTTTCTACTACACCTGCCTGATGTGGCGTACAACTTTGTCAGGATTTCCACATCTCCCGATCATCGACCTCGGCTAACCTCCTTAATAACCAGACGTACCGAAAGCCGACCCGTGCAAATGAACATCTGCTTTCGTACTTTGGCGCGAAAGACATGGGCATCTCGCACACGTTATTCCGGCGTTTCTTCTGGGCTGAAAATATCCTGTGGAAAGAAGACATCCAGGGCCATTCCGTCAGTGTGGTCTTGTCCGGCAGAGATTCAATAATTGACGCCAAAGTCATCGGTGCATATCTGACAGGCGCACCTGATGGGGGTCTTGACACCGAAAGATGGAAAGATGGAGTGTGGAAAGGTGGACTGTTAGAGGTGCTGTGGTTTCCAGACTTAGATCATGGACAGGCGTTTGACGGGAAGAAGGCGAGAAGAAGATTGGTTGATGTGGTTAGGAGGACCAGGGTATCGAGTGAGAATCGGGCAACTGGTGGTTAACGTTAGTTGCAGTATAGGTGGAGGCGATGGTCGATGGGTAATTGACCCATTATTTCCCCCAAAGAGACAATATCATCAGCAGAGCAGTCTAACCCCCATCCGTCCCATTATCTTCCATCACGAAGCCTGCCCCTGTCTCGGATAAGGTGCGCCCTCAGAAAGAGTTTAGGATGGGGTGTCTTTCATGGGAGCCAATGTAAGGGGGTGCGGGACCAGGGTCAAGAGCCGACGAGTGTAACATAACACGCGTCGGCGCCCACGCGCCACCTGCTCGATTCTCTCTCCTCTCTTCAACTTAGTATTCTTGAAAAACAGTGGCATTACCTCTTGAGTTGATCTCACCTGGCCCGTGACAGAATACTTAAACGCGGCCGTAGGAGCGACGAAATGACCCGTGTATGCTCTTACAGGAAAGACGCAAGATGCCTACCCGCGACGTCGAACGATACAACAAGGCGGTCAGGTGGAACATCGGCTCCTTGCTGACGAAGTGCGAACACTACAGCAACCTAAGGGGTATCGAGCTCGCTCTGTACGTCTCCTTCCCCGAAGATGGAGGCTTTGTTTCGTACGACTCGGCCAACCTGAGCTGGCGTCAAGACATCGAAGCCAAGGTAAGCCCCCCGTCTTCAGTTCGTTTCTGCTGCCTCCTCTGATGACAAGCAGAAAGCCCACACACCTCCGACCCTTCTCCTGTTGGAGCCCCTGGTGAGGTCGATTGGTCACAAGGTGACGGGATTCCGTTTCGAGCAGAGTAGAGGACGTTGTCCGAGGTGGAACATGATGGACAGAGCTGGGCAGCTGGCGACAGAGTCCAGATCCGAGGGCCTCGAAGAAGCTGACGACGTCCCTGTCCCGGGCTTGTCCAATGGCGAGGGGGCAGACGGACAATTGTAGTGCCCGTGCGTCTCCGCCGATGCCGGATCTGAGGACTACGTACTTGCGGGCCTGTGGGCAAAGCGGGTACCAAGATGAGAGACACGTTCAGGACTCATGTCCCTCGGGCTAGATAGGATGCAAGAAGTAGCTTGAATTGCTGCTCGCTGGATTACCTCTGTTCCCATTACTGCGACCAACGCCAGCAAGTGAGCGCAGCAAACTTAGATGATTTCCTGAGCCAGTCCAGACCTGCAGCTTCGACGTCGCTGTTCGAGACCGCCGGGGACCCGACCCTGATCCGAGAAGAAAATGGATTCATGTACTTGACGTGCGCCTCGGCAGCCTCTACAGTACGGAGTTCGTGTTGCACTGGAAGGCGATGTTGCACACGTTGAAGCTCAGGATGCGGGTCGAGCCTTTCCCGATCATCTCCTCGGCGTCGCCTTCCCAGCGTCAGGTGTGGTCCTTAATCGCGGGCCCAAAACATTGGGACGAACTCAGCGACCTCTTGAGGGAGCCCGTTATCTCGTGAGTCCCAGTTGTACTGTATGCCAAGCCGCATGATGCACACGTGTTGCCACCGGTGAAAACGTAGCTGACGAGCTCGGCGGCGTTGTAGGCGAGACCGCGTTTGCGTTGGCCTGTGAAGCTCGGATGGGGTCGGCCGGAGACTTGCACGGCTAGCCTGTCGCCACTTGGCTGGGTGCATGGAGACTTGCAGGCGAGGAGAGCGTGCCCTGCCTCAAGGCCAGCAATACGATAATCAGGGCGTAGTAGTGCTTTAGGCCCGAATCTCGTCCCTCATCCTCTGCGACACCAGCTGGTCCTCCCCATTTGCGAGTGGGACCTGGTGCAGTCGTGCGAACAAGGACGGAAACATGTCCCTGTCGCAGTCATAAAGGTCAAGCATTGGATTGTCTTCTGTAGGACATACGGTAGCAGAACCCTCACAAGCCGCGTCACCGAATCATGGATGCTGTCGTATGGTGCTCGTAGCAATCGGAGAGCCCCTGGCCAGTTCTATCGTGGTAAGTTTTGCCTTGTTGACCTTGACCATCCTCAGATACATCGCAGAGCGCGATCTCTCCCGTTATCTGTCTTTGAAGCAGATCTTCCTCGGCATACGCCCTTTGAACAACATCACCTGGCTCGACCTCATCACAACCGTCGTCTTCGTTTCCGCCAATGCCGTGGCCATAAGCTACGGCGTCCAGGATATCGCAGGCTTTATCCGCCGCTCAGATGTCTTGTCAGTGGTCAACATGGCACCGCTGCTTCTTGGAACCCGGATGAACCCGATCGCGAGTGGCTGCGGGCTCAGCCTACCAACATATGTCGCGATGCACCGTTGGCTGGGGATTATGGCCATCCTCCAGGGCCTGACCCACGCCGCTGTCTCTTTCGACCCAAGGATCAAGCGGCTTCGGGAAGCTGAGTGACAAGTCGGGTATTGTGGTAGGTGCAAGAAGGTTGGCGGCATGGTGCGAGTGCTGAGCCGTTCCTCCAGATCACGAGCGTGCTAGTCGCCATCCCCTTGACGAGCCTCATTCGGCGACGGGCGTACGAGGCATTCGCTGCCGCCCACTTCACTCTGGCCGTATGCGCTGCCGTTTTCATCTACCTACACACTCCATCCTCCCACGTTCTGGAGTCGCCCAAGCGGTGCCTGGTCGCGGCCGCCAGTTGTCTAGGCCTCACGTGCATCATCCGGCTAGGCTTGCTGCTCTATCGCAACGTCCGGCTCGGCTCGCCATCCAGTCGGGCCGCCATCCGCACCATCACCTTCGACTTGAAAGAAAGCAGCATCTCGCTTGAGGATGCCGTCCATATCCATATCCGGCTGTCGAGGCCGTGGAATGTGAGGGCTGGCCAGTACGTCTACCTGACCATCCCGGGTTCTCTGATGCGTGGGTCCGACGAACCAAGTGGCCGAGTATCTACCCGGCGGCCCACTTTCGTCTTCTCCTCGACATGAGTTGGCTTCCCGATTTCCGTCACGGACACGGACTAGACGAACGGAAGCTCTCCTATGTCGTGGATGCTATCGACGATATGTTCGACCGGTGCGAGCGGACCGTCTAGCATACCAGCCGTTTCATACTCTGCTGGCTACGGAGCTTCGACCATGACCGATGCTGCAGGATGCCCTTTTCGCTCCTTTCTAAGAAGGCTAGCACGGCCTGCTACAGGCGAATCTGGAAGCGCTGTGTAGTATTCGTAGTACGGCGCTGGCTGTTGGGACACGACCAAGTCCTTGGTCTTCCCTGTGCTACGTCACGGCTGCTCCAGCGGCGAATACAGGAGCTATGGGGCCACGACGCCTGGGCTATGGTCGACACCTCACTTGGCATGTGGCCGAAAGGCCAGAGTGGATGTGATAGACGCCTCATACCACTTGGCCGGGGCGATGCCGACATGGACGAGCACAAATTCGCAGTCGAGTGCTCTAGTCGGTCGGGTGATGATGGCGATGATGACGATGATAAGGGCGAAGACTCGGCTTTCGTCACTGACTCCGAGGCCGACGAATCCGAGCGATGGGATGACAACTCGGAGTACGATTCGGAGTACGAAAACCAAGTCGACCGTAGCCGCCACTGCGTCGAGACTCTCGAACGTCGACAAGAACCCCAGCTGAGGAAGGCTCTGGAGGAAGTACTTGAACTCCTGTTCCAGCTCAGTGTAACTATCTGCACAGGGCAGTACGCAAATGGCGAGCCCAGCTCGACGCTACTGGTATACTTCAGTGGCGTCCTTGGCCTGGATCCCGAAGCGACAGGTTTCCGCCGGGCTACGCAGTACACCTCCACACTGTCCGGCTTTATCTATGTTCATCGGTTCTATATCGGAAATCGCCGCTTTCTTCGCTCTCTTGTCCGACTTTTTGCAGGGTGCTAAATGGGAAATCAGGAGCGGAGAACGTGAAGCCGGTGGCTTCCGAATCTGGGGGGAATGGCCTTGACCATACATGCAAATGTCTATGCGCTTGCTGAAAAATATGGCATCAAGGGGCTGAAGAACACGGCTCTTGAAAAGTTCAAGAAGGAGGCAGACCTCTGTTGGATGTCTCCTGACCTTTTGCGGGCAGCAGAGGTGTACACGTCCACTATGGCTAAGGATCGATCAATAAGGGACATAGTCGCTGAAACACTCAGCAAGCACCCATCTCTACTGGATGGCGAGGGGGCACAGAACCCATCCGACGTCTAGACCTCTGTTACGATTTGATGATGCGCTTCCGGGCGCGTTGATGGGCTAAATCGTCCTGACGAAGATAGTCAATGTGCTAGAGGTAGTGTATCATGAGCCTTAAAGCCAGAGGATCGTCATCGAGGTGAATGGTGCTAATACATCCACGCCGCGTTGTTCTTCTTGTAGTTGCGGCGGCGGGCGGTGACCTGTGGGGCCGACGGCGCTGGGCGGGTGCCGCCCTCCGTGTACCTCTGGATGGGGCGGACAGTATCGGCCTGGTTGTTGCACGGCCGGGGACCGTTGGCTGTTATGCTGACCGAGTAGGCTTCCGTTTTAGGCATCCTCGGCGCTGTGGATCCAATGGCCGAGTCGCGTCGCTCCAATGGGACCAGACCGATGGCACCCTGGGGTTGTTCAATGACCTCGTGTGATGCGTACTTCGGTCGTCTTGACCGATGCGAACATTCCGTTCAAGCTGGAGACACCCTCGGCGTCATGCGAGCTAAAGCCCTGGAGCTGTTTGCGCTTTCGGTAAATGTCGCCTCCGGTCCGGATGTAGATGAAGAATGTGATCAAGATGACCAGCCTGCGAGTCGTTAGACGGGTGCCACAAGACCGAATAGCTGGAAGGAGAACAAACCACACAGGGCCGTAAAAAGTCAGAATGCGCCAGATTTCCCACTGTTTGGTGACCCAGCACCAGAGGGCGGCGTTGCCGTAAACACGATCACTATTGTCGTTCCTGACGAAGATGTAGGTCAAGGCTGGCACTAGAGGAATACCGTAGCAGCATACTATGTACGGGATCTCCATTCTCCGCAGCCTCTCGGCGTCAAACTTGTAGTAAAACGTCAAGTACACGTTGACGGCCATGGCCAGCGTCCAGAAGGCATCTGCGGGCATGAACCGTCGTTCGGTCAGCATTTCGAGAGACGAATGGCATCTGAGAGACGTACATTTGAATGAGGAATGCTTGCAGTTGGCAGCCAGGCGATTCGGGTGAGCCGATGTATGACCTAGCCATCAACGTTCCAATGTTGGTGATGCCATTGCCGAAGGAGGCATAGAACACTAGCCGGTTGATAGGCTTGTGAAAGGCTTTTGAAGAAAAAAATGTAATAATGATAAACAGGCATCCCAAGTGAGAAAGAACAGAGCAAACACGCTCAATGATGCTGAGGGCATCCAGGGTCTCGTCGCGTAAGTTGACCTTTTCCCTTCGAGCGTTCATCATTATGGCGTCTGGTAAATGGCAAATCGCATGTGTTCAAAAAACCCCCTCCCCCCCAAAAAAACCCGAGACAGCCAGGGGAAGGTGGCCAGCTAGTCGGCGCCACGGTTTCTACTCGAATACTGGCGGGTTGTAGGTGGCTTCCCTGAGGTTGTGCACAGGTCGAGGCTTCGGGGTGTACTGTCTGATATACCACAGCCGGCAGCCGGTGTGTGACCCAGCTGGAGGGAAGGATTGAGTGATCGGACCTCGAAAGCGTCCAGGCGCCGTGAAGTCGGTCAGAAGAGATCCCTAAGCAAATACGTGAGAACGGCCGCTGATGGCGCAGGCATCGTTAAAATCCCACTCTTAGTCCCCCATCATGTCCTACATAGCCTCGACAAGCCGATAAAGATGGCTCATACCATTCAGAAGATAGCTCTTGAAGTTGTTGTTACTTGCTTCTGTCCCAGATGTGACGCGGGATGCCGAAGTTGCGATACTTGCGAATGAAACAGCGCGCCCACTGCGCCCTGACGGGCATGTAGGTTCCATGGAGATACCGCAGGATTGCTCGTTGGTCGTCAAACTCCTTACAGAGGTTTCCCCACGCTTTCTCGTGAGCCTCCTCAGTCTCGGCGAATAAGACGAGCTTCCACACTATGAGAACTCCTCGGTAACTATGAGGGATAGCCTCAGTTGTCGGCGTATGGACTAACTCTCAGTCCTGGGGGCTTAGTTGAGCCTGTTCCTGTGGAGGGCAGTCGTCCCCGTCGCTTGTGTTGGTACTACTTCTGCTGCTCTGGGCCTTGACCCACTTCTGCTTCGACTTAAGCAGGACGTTCGAATTGATGTGGTGGATACACATCTGCTGCTGTGCATCAGGGAACTGGTCGTTTAACGTGGCCTTCATCTGGCCGTCGAAATCGGCGACGATCACATCCGGTTGCCGGATGGAGTGCTGCTCAACTAGCTGTCCAATGCCTACTCTGTGGACATGACGTGGAAAAGCGCACGCTTCGCCTGCAGCGCGCCACCTGTAGAAGCAAGCCATTCTTGCGTACAGAACTGCACCATCGCGTGCATTTTCAGCATGTCCTCGTCCAGAGTTGTCGCAACCAGTGAGGATCCCCGTAGAATGTCCAAATCATCTTCGAACGCCTTCCTGACTACCGCTCAATCCCCCCGCAGACGACATGCCCTCCTCGTCCTGCACGTATTGCCGAAGGATCTAGTCTGGAGTCCCTTGCGGACTAAAGAAGATCATGAATGCGAGCAGATCTGCCGCTGACGCCCTTCCTGCCAGATACCATCGAATGTTATGTTCCAGGTCGCGATGATCGAGTTGTACTGTCAGGGCACAACTGCGGTATCCTGTTTCCCGCAGATGATAGGCGCGTGGGGAAGTGCGGAGGCGTTGGAGGTACATGTAAGGAGCTGCGGATGGCCCATCCTCGCAGGAGGAGGCCAGATTTCAGATGTTCTATCACCATATACCTACGAATTGAACTGCGGACTGCGTTGCGGAAGACCCCTTCACTCTGCTGACCACTGCGCTCTGACATGTACGCACTCGCGTCCCGTCGTTTGTCGCCCATATCTCTCCAAAGAAGTCCTGCCTTTTTCTTCTTATCGTACCGTAAGTTTTCCAGATACGCGGACGGCGACATGCGAGGCGCTCGCCGGGCAATGAACGCAGCTGCTTGTGTGACAACCATCGCCATCAACCTGTACCCCACGACGTACCTCGTGGCCGCCTACGGCTCTCTGAAGGACCATCCCGCTGAGTCGTACGTGGGCCTGCAAAATATCCGGAACGAGATCTACATCTGCTCGCGCCTCAACAATCTGTGTCAATCTCCTCAAGACCCCATTGCGTGCCGCATATATAAAGGGACAAGCCCGCGTGACATATGGTGACAATTTCCGGCTGACAGGCACCCGTGACAGCCGCCCCCATCTCCCAGGCCAAAGGCATGAAGAACAGCCCCGTCGCCCTCGTGTTCGTCGGCAGCAGCTTGGTGGTCTACTTCTTCGGCCCCGCCGGCGCCGGCGACGACCCGAACGCCTCGCCCGTGTACCGCGCTGTGACGTCGGACCTGTCGACCTTCGTCTTCACGTCATTAACGAACGCGCCGTCGCCCAATGTGTACATGCAGCTGACCACCTTCTCTGACCCCGCCCCTAATAACGGCGGGCTAGGTACAGTTATCCTGACGCACGTCCAGAACGATAGCAACCGACTTGTTAGCCGGGAGGACGACTATCTAAGTTTAAGACTCTCGGGACGCAGCTTAGATGGCGGAGGGTCTGGCCGTATTTATATCTGTATTGGGCAGCCTCTTGCCGTTGCTGTTGCTAGTTAATACTATTGGTCGTTGCTTGGTCGTCGTCTCCGTTTGCACCACGTGTGATGGGGAGCCCCTATTCAGGGGCAACCAAAGGGTGACTTGGCATTCTGTCACGAGGGCGTCAATACTCGAGTTAACAGCAGGCATATAATACCTGTACAACTAAAATGACACATGATTCACCTCTGGGACAGGGAAGATGGGCTTCTTCTTTGGCAAAATTTGACACAATGTACAAAATTCAATCACAAAATCCCCAATCCAAATTCGCCATGCTAGCAAGATGAAAGATTGGTCATACTTCAGCCTGATGAAACGTTGGCCGGGCAGGACCAAAATTAAAGCAATACATAGACAGGGGACAATCCCACGCCCCTGATCCGTTTTCCCAGAAACAAAACACTCATACGAAAATCGGTTGGGAGGGGTGGAATCGAACACACTGTCCCCATTTGATGACAATCCAGGCGCTAACCACTGCGTCACCCACCAGGATTAGCCATGTCTTCGGGGGCAGACGCAGCGGTGTCAAACTCACAGTAACGTCAGCGTCAAGTCGCCATGGATCCTGGCCTTGAGGGTGATTTCGATCTCGAGATTCAATTCCAGCTTCAGCGAGAGCGCGTCGCCGCCCCCGCCGCCCCCCTTTGGTTCTTGCTGTTGTTGCATCTGTTGTTGTTGTTGCTGCTGCTGCTGCTGCTGCTGTTGCATCTGCTGCTGGCGTTGGCCGCTCATACGGCTTCGCGACCGCGGCACCATAGACTGCTCGCGCTTCCCAAAGGTATCGTCGAGCGACCATGTCGAAATGTCGCGTTCTCTGGTCGGCCGGGGCGGGCGTTTGGTGCGCGACCTGGGTGCGCGGCGCTCCGGCTTCGATGCACTGGTGGCGTCGGTGTCACCGGCCTCCTCTTCTTCGCCTTTCACTTCTTTCTTCTCGCGGGGACGCCGTCCCTTTTTGGTTCGCGGGACTTCGTCGTCGACCTGGGTTTCCGACTGGTGCTCATCGTTGGACTTGTCGCCCTCAGGGATGGTGTCCTGCCGGGTCTGCGTTAGTCAAGTTTCTCTTTGCAGAGCTACGAGGAGGAGCATACATTTTTAAGTGACATTGAAATGGCGGAGGTGTGAAAAAGGTAAATGTTGATCAATCCACAAAGGTAAATGGAGATTCCAAGAGCTTGTTCATACCTCAAGTATCAGCTGCGAAAGTGGGTCGCGGCTCACTGCATTCCCTACGTCATGGCTACGTAGGGAACCCAAACATCCAGTAACTTATATTCTTGATTTTCCCCATGTTTCCCTCATGTGAGGGTCTCGTATCCAAATCAATCAATAACGCTGCTAGGATCACCTCTAGATACAGGACGTAGCGCGAGGAGAGAAGGAGGACAAGATTCAGGCCCTCCTCGCGTTTCATGAGCGTCAGATGTCGTTGTCACGGCACACGTGCCCTGGCACGTGTGCCCCCTGAGCTTGACCCGTGACACCTCATGTGCCAAATCAGGATGACGGCCACGCCCACTCACCGAGCTCCATCCGTCGAGTCTACGCCACTTGTGCCTTCCAACTCTTGAGCCCTTCTCACCGACTGCGGCAAGAATTTACTTGTGGCAGTGAGTGCTGGTCCTACTATACTGAACAATGACTTTATCAATTGCAGTAATGTGCATGATAAGCAAGTGGGCCGAACAAGCAAGTGGGCCACCTGACGACGAAAACGCGACCTTCTTACTTTAACCATTAATTCCTCCACCAACAACGATGACTCCGCCCTCACAAGAACGTCAATTACAGCTTGCTCTTCAGGCTATTCAAAATGACCCATATCTCAGTATACGCGCTGCGACAAATATCTTTGGTGTTCCCCAAATGACCTTGTCGCGTCGACTACGCGGTATTACTTCGCAACGCGACAGGGTCCCCCTCAATCGGAAATTGACGGAGCTCGAGGAGTTAACGATTGTTCAATACATACTTGAGCTAGATTCTCGAGCATTTCCTCCCAGGCTTTGTGAGGTTGAAGATATGGCTAATCGACTGCTGGCTGACCGCGACGCGCCGAGTGTCGGGAAGCGCTGGGCCTCAAACTTCGTCAAAGCGACAACCAGAGCTTAAGACGCGTTTCTTTCGCAGATATGACTATCAGAGAGTCCAATGCGAAGATCCCGAGGCAATTCGCGATTGGTTCGCGCTCGTAAAGAACACAATCGCCAAATACGGTATCGCGGAGCCTGATATCTATAACTTCGATGAGACTGGGTTTATGATGGGCGTTATCGGGTCCGGAATGGTCGTTACGAACGCCGAAACACGTTCTAATGCGAAAATGGTCCAGCCAGGAGGTCGGGAATGGGTGACAGTGATCCAAGGCGTTGGCGCAGACGGGTGGTGTGTCCCACCGTTCATCATTATGGCGGGCAAAAATCACCTCTCAAGCTGGTACGAAGACAGCCCTCCACCTCACGACTGGGTAATCGCTACGACAGACAAAGGCTGGACAACAAATGAGAAAGGTCTAGAATGGATTCAGCATTTCGACAAGCATACCAAACCCCGTCGGTCGGCCGGATATCGCCTCCTTATCCTAGATGGGCACCAAAGTCACCATTCCGTTGAGTTCGAGCTGTACTGCAAGGAAAACAACATCGTTACGCTTTGCATGCCTCCCCTTTCATCTGACCAGTAGCTGTCGAGATTCTGCCACGGCCCAATTTAGCCAAGTCATTCAGCATCGAGGTCGTCTCAACACGCAAGGTTTTAGCAGGACAGCCTCTTCGCGAGGCGACAGCTGGCTGTAGGTGATGAGTGGATTAGTGAGGCCTCATAAGGATCGTAGATGTACTTCATATATTCGTTAATGTCGGAGGTACTGTGTCGAGCCGATTTTCATGAGCTTTCGCAAGAGTCGTATAACGAAGGGGTCACCGTAGCCGTCAACCTGCTCTACAAATGCAAAGGCCCCAACAGCATCGCCAGTGCGCATCCCTTATCCCCTGTACCCCTTATCACATCCCCCACACCCTCCAACCTGGTGCTAGCGAGGACGGGCATGCTGGAGTTCTCACCCAAGCCCCTAGGATGTTCACCCCTCCACCCCCTCGGCTTGGACTGAGAGCTTTTCAGGCAATACATATAGTTTCCGGCATAGCTGTCGATGATCTCCATGTTAGGGTGATACAAGTCGGATCAGTCCTTCCTCAACAACCCTTAACAACATCGCAGTTCTGGGTATATCGAGATTACGTAGAGACCCATCACGGAACAAGGGAAAAAGTTCCCATGAGCGCTTTTACCGGTCACCGCCTCGGGGTTGATGATATAACACCTCCTTTCGGAAGCATGCCTTTCAACCTACATATGAGACGATGTCTTGGGTATTCACATGACGGTTGGTTCAGTCCAGGCGCGCTATGGATATGCAGATCGAGTGTTGGTGCGGATGATTTTGCTCGGCAGTCAGAAGTTGCCTTCAAAATGGATAGAACGGCAGCGGGTTCATGGCTGGCTCTCAACATGCGCAAGATATCTAGGGCTTCAATATCGGAAGACGACAGTAGCACATGCAAAATCTCGGAGGACTCGATCGTGATTTCGTCGGGCGGCTCGGGGTACACGCATGGCGTCAATTTCTTTCGACATGCCTGGCACTTGGGGCGTTGGCCATCACACTACGAAACCGAATGGGTGTCAGCAATCCATTGTCAGAGTGATGTGGAGTTGCACTAGGTACGGTATCCTGTTGCAGTGAACGAGGTAGAACATACACGGATTTTTTTCCGACGGCAGTCATTACAGGAAACTTGGGTTCTGCTGCGCTTACGCTTGCTGCGTTCCGATTCCTCCAGAGTATTCGATGGGCAGGGGAGGCTAGTGGGCAGGGCTTCGGCATGGGCGCTGGCAGAGGAGGATGTGGTGGCAGTGGTACCGGCAGATTCCAGGCCAGCTTCAGCAGGCAGAATCTTGCGGAAATGTTGATTGTCGGAGCTAGTCATGGTGGTGACGAGAGACGCAGGTCATGATAGTTGCATCACCTCACATCGTGAGTTGGCATGCCTAAAGCCCCTCCCACAATAGTTGCTTCGATGTCGTTTACACGTCATTCTCTCTTCGATTAGTCAGCATTACGTATTTCGCTCCAGACCCGGACGTCGACCCCTCGATTCCACTGTGGCTAAGACTATGATCAGGTAATTACGTGAGAGCCACGTGATCTTGTAGACCCCGTTGACACAATGGAGACACGGTCGCTACGGTATCATCATTAATTCACTACTTACGTTACCCTCAGTCCGCACTTATTACGGAAGTCATGGGAAACAATCCCCAATCACCTATGCAGGATATAAGATGGCCCTTCTATGTCGCCACCTACTAGATCGAGACGTATCCGGTCCGTACCTGCTCCTCCCCAAACTGCCAGTCTCTCCGTCGCCTTCTACTTCCTGTCTGATCACTGGTATCGATGTCTAGCCACTAAGGGCACAGCCACAACTCCAAGGATACTTGGCATACGGTCACGTGGAGTTCACACTATACAACATTTTACCTGCCGTCAACAGTCAACCTAATGCGTCCAATGATTTAAAGATGTGACAGTACACATTGGCAACGGCGATTGGGTACCTCGGGCGCCTGTTGCATCCAAAATGTCGAGGCTGAAGGAGACAGTCGCACCGAGATCAAAATCTGCACGGACCCGTGCTCATTTGTACTGTTCTCCAGTCTGAGGTAAACGGGATATGACGTCTTCGTATGCTGAGATCCTAAAAGTGTCGATCGCGATAGTGACACAATCCCTCCTTGATATTAATCAAGTGTCCTCGAGAACTTATCCCCATCATTTGTGGAACTTGGAACAGATGCGATTCGAAGATGGACTCCGACACGAAGGAAACAGATACTAAGGTGCGCTTATGCCTACATTCTTTCGTGTTTAATGCCTACTTACACGTATCTGTCCCGTAAGGCTCCCACTGAGAAGGAGGTTCGGCTCCGACAAAAGTACGGGAAACTACCAACCAGGACTGACCTACTTCACCATCAGTTAGAGGTACCTAGTCTTCTTGATCTATATTGAATTCGACTGATCACTTTATCGCCTATAGAGGAAGTACTTCGATTCAGGCGACTTCGCGCTTACAGCGGCGCATAAAGCCTCCAACATCGGGAACATCCAAAGCGGAAAGAAACATCCTCTCGTTGAGAACATTTCCCACCCTTCGGCTCCTGTACCAAGTTCCAGCAATGTAGACGATAACGCAAATAGGAACAATGAGAGTCAAACGAATAAGGCAATACAGGCGAGCGGCATAGGGCGGGAAATGTAATCGGGCTGTAGGACCACGGACGAAATGCTCGAGGCCCTGGGAAAGGGGGGGATGATTGGTGGTATGGGCAAGCAAGATTGTTCTTCGAGTGGTAAGTCGTCCTAAGAGGTATCTTTTCCAGCTGCTTAGCTTGTCTTCAACCGCGGACGCCAATCCGCCATCGAGCACGAGTTCAAACAAATGGATTAGAGTTGGCAAACCTTGATCTTGGCATGTTAGGTTATTTCATCAAGTCGTCTTCTTCCTATGGGTGTTCGAGTGTTCGACTGCGCTTGTAATGTATCCACATCGAGACCGAAGTTGTCCGGATCCGTTCGTCGCTTATCTCCTGGATAAAAGAGAGACTACCTGGCCTTTCGCTAGTGCATCGTGCTCTCCCAGGATTCCAGGTCGACCGGAGCCGAGGGCCGACCAGCAAAAATATACGGACAGCGTAAGAGAAGGCGGATACTCATGGTAGTTCACAGTGTACATATTATGGAGAGGCCAGGACGTCGGCTGATGAAGGGGTGCAAGGCATGAAGCTGCCCGTGGATGGTAAAGCCGTTTCCCTCGCTCGAGAAGTTCCAGAGGACCAAGGCGGCTTACGTAGATACAATGATTTGTCAAGGTGTCGTGTCAGCCCGATCAAAGGAATCTCTTTTGGTGATGGGCTGTTTGAGGTACATTGTAAATCGAGGCTCCGCAACGGATGGTAAATCACAATTCTACTTCCACAACTTAAAGTCGAGTTTCAATCGATAACTTTTAGAAAGGGTCTCCATCTCTGGTTGTTCAGAAAAGTACGTTGTGAGGTTTACAATTTGTACAAGTAGCGAAGGTGGCCCGCTCGCTTGTGGAATACGGTCACAACCATTAACATCAAATGTTGCGCCCTTGCCCCCCCCCCCCCCCAAGGAAGCCGACCATCACACGTGGGATCAATTGCCATCAATCGGAGTCGTTATCTTCAAAATTAAAAATACACTGCTATTTTACAAGTCTAGGCGTCGTGTCCTGTCGTGCCGCAGACGCCACAGGTCCGTCCCCGACTTGCGACAGCTGCTTTGCCGCCCTTCCTGCCTCACCTGCGCAACCACCTCGTTCTCGGCCTAGAGATCCCGTCATTCAGCTAAGGTCATGCTACATACCTGTCTCGGGCGTGACTTTTAGCTTTACGACGTCGGCTGAGCGTCTCATTCTCCTCTCGAAGGATGCGGTGCTCAGACTTGAGACGGCGATCTGATGCGTGGTTCCCCACGCCCCTTTCGAGGTTCGGTCAACAGTCTTATCAATAAAGGTCGGCGAGCTACTTTAGTGGCAGTATATTCGGCTTTTGATGAGATCTGACTGAGAGCTCGCTTCAGTCGGGTCATTCGGTGTCTTCAAGACCCGATGTACGGGTGTCTCTATGACCCCCTCAACAGGCGTCGGCGTCTGCACCTATGGCTTTACATCCAACCGAGAACCATATATTCAAGGTCAATTCCGTAAATACTTCGCCTCGGAAGCCCCCTTGGATGTTCCTTTCCATCATGGCCTCTTGGAATGCTGCCAAAAGCGGCGGAAAGAGGTCCCCCTTGGCGATGTGGCTTTACTGGCGCTCATCTTCTTCTTGGTTTTCGCTTCGTATGCTTGTTTGAGTAGGCTAGGATAGCCATTATCTAGAGCTTGGAGTATGTGTGACAAGTGAGGAGGCACACAGCGCGTGATGACCGTCGAGTCGTGGCTGTGATGGTTGTCTAGGATTAGAAGGTAATATGCACTAGTTATATAAGGCTTCATATGCTTTTACAACGCTGGATCCATTCCACGCCTCACTTGCTTGTGGTCTAACCGTTATCAATCGTGGTAGTCACCTACGCTTGTGGTAGAGGGCTATCGTCGCGCCAGGTCCATAGATGTTACTTGCCCGAGACGATGATAAGTGGCGGGACCGTTGAGCCTTAGGAATGAGCACCCTGGATGGCCACACCACATTCCCGGTTGCTAGGCAGAGCTAACATATTCCTGGCAAGTCTCTCTGTACTCATGATAACTACACCTGATGAAATAGATAAGCCTATTATGAAGCCGGTCGCTTCAAAGCTGTAGATATCCGACTCTGCGATGCCATACTTGGTGATTGTTTTCCGTACGAGAGCTAACTAGTCACGAATAATGATTGGACTTTCGCATTTGGCTCTCTTGTAGTCGTATCTTGGAAAGAAGCGCGTCTCGAGCTGGGGTTGTCGTCTGACGAAATTTGAAGCCCAGAGCTTCCTAACCTTGAGTGAGTCGCGCTCGGCGCGCAGTCGATCGGCCATATAGAACATCCAGGTCGGGAACATAGTGAACAAACGTAAACTTCTCTCGATCGGTCAAATTCCGTGAATTGGGCGGGGCGTCGCGTTGTGAGCGCTGATCGTTAGATCGGGGACGAAGTGTCATTTCTGAGACAATGTAGATCCTCGCTGCAGCTCGGACATTAATGTTTTGGTCATTTTGGACAGCCTGAATGGCTAAAATCAAATGGCCTTCTGTACTTGCTACTCCTTTGTTTTGGGTAGAGAATAACACGTTTGAAGGGGGAAATGGCGTCGTCTTGATGTTCCGTGCCACTCGCTCATCATGCACGTCAGTTAGAGCACAAAATACTTTACCAAAGTCTATGAATTGCGGGGACCTCACGTTTATGGCGAAGAAGGACGGCCGGGGAGGCCATTTTTATGATTTTACACGATGTGATATCGTCTCTTACGGGAATCCAAGAAGTGGCATTTCCAATATGTCAGCAATAATTATGCCTTACCATGCCTTGTTTACAGCGCAAGTCAGCTTGTCTGGCTCATGAAGGCAGCTGCCTTGCCCTTGCCACGGACAACAACGATGAAGCCCGTCGGAAGTAGAGGTCATGGCTGCGGTCGGTTAGTGCAGGGCATCTTGCCTCATTTGCGCCTGTCATCCGCACTTGCGGGCTCTGGGCTCCACTTACGGTTGTCATCCGCACTTGTGGTTTATGGGCTCCATTTTGCCTGTCATTCACAACACAGTTAGATGCACCCACGCTTGCCATTAGACATGGTTTTCCATACTATCATTCCCACTCTGTCGGTACTACTATCCTCCAGAATATGGCTGTTTCAACTAGCCCCTTCGCCCAAGAAATAAACTGCAGGACTTGCGCCACATCACTGGCAGAATCTCCTGAGCTATTAAGACGCAGGAATACCCTCTCGGCGAGAACGACGGAGCGGTGCACTGCCGAGATCCTGTCGGACAATCTCTCTAGCCAACATTGAATGTCTTTGAAAGATGCTTGTGGCGGGAGCGTCGTAGTGTCAACGGTCTCAATTCCTTTCCTCCATTCCTCCCGAATCTCATCGCTCACCGGTCCGAGGAGGTGCATGAAAGCTGTTTGCCAAAACTCGACATCGACAGCCCCAGAGGTCGACTCTATGGGCACCTTGGTAGCAATGCAAAACGCCACTACTAGTACTGGGACGTCAGAACCCTCCGGACATGAGTGGAGTGGCCATGGCCGACATATGGGTCTGCTTGATGACCCGTTGCTGCGTTTGTCGTAGAAGGCACGGATGCGCGCGTGACACGATTCAACATCGTCGGGATCAAACGAGTAAGCGCACGCCATATCTCCGGAGACGTGGCCTAGCACGTACCGAGATCGAACGCGGATAGGTATCAGCACAACGCTAGCAGCATTCGGTGAAGGGCCTGGTGGAATCTCGTCGCGAGTAAGCACTTCGATTCCAGCTAGCAACCCAAGGCGGTGAAACACCTCCGCCACCTGGCTATCGTGCAGAGATGGGGGGCTAGTACGCCTTCGTTTCGTTAACCCATCGGTCGGGCATCGTGGTGAGTTCTGAAGCGCTCTCTTCGTTGAGCCAGTACAGGCGCTACCATCGGGGCTGGCGCCTGGCGGATCCAGGACAATAAGGTTCCCGAAAGAGCCCTGCACATCTTGAGCGCCCAGAATCTCACACACTCGCTTAAAGTCCGCAGGCTTGTAGCCTTTTCTCCCCGGGGGCGGCAGTCTCTTCAGTACAGCTTCTCTGGACCACTGCCCCAGGCGATGTATAATCCTCGAACAGTTCTCTGTGATGCTTCCTAAGTCTTCGAATACTCGTTCGTATGACACATCCCAAGCCGTAGCTAGGTTCTTCATGCGCGCGCGTATCAGGTCCCGCTGGGCGGTGGTATTATCCTTGAGCGCCTTAGCGGCAAGATCGCCTGGTGACTGAGAGGGCCCGTCCTTCAGAAATGAAGTCTCGATCCCGGCACCCTTCGCCTCGTTGGTGACAACAACCTCAGCCTCGACATTCGTCTGGTCTGGCTTGGGGCAACATGACCAGTCACACTTTCCGGCGCTCTTTCTGAGAAGCTGCATGAACAGTCTGGGCTTCAGCTTTCCCTCCGGATATAAGCTGTCGTAAAGCTTGTTGACGCCAAAGAGATGCTGGTGCGACGTCGAGGCCGTCTTGATATGGTCGAACCGTCGCGCCAGCCTCGTGCCCAGCGCGGAGACATCATCATGGCGAAAACGACAAGACTCGATTGATGATCCATTGGCCTGAAGGGCGAGTAACTGGCAGATGTCATGCTTCTGTTCTGCAGCCATGCGGACTCTTTGGGGGTATGTCTGGAGAGAAAAAAGGTGTTAAATGATGGTTCCTCAGTTGGAAGTGGCTGAGCAGGTTGACAAGCTGGAGACTTGAGGCTGTATTTGTCAGTGGGTTGGGTGGAGGCGCAGGCGGCCCACGGCCAATTGGATGTTTGAAGGTGGCTCGGGGAGGGGGCTTGGAGGCGTTAGTCGATCCAGGCCTTGTCGTTTCCTTTGGGTTCCAGGGTGCGACCCTGGGTCGGTCAACAAAAGAGACGCGTTGCTGCGCGTCCTCGCCGTCAATGGGCGCTGCAACTCATCAATCACCGCCTCGCCATCTGTACGATCTCACGCTTTCTCGCCCAGAAACCTGACAACCCACCAAGCAGCATGGTATGTTGTTTTCCTCATCATCAGTCCGCTCTCTGACCAGTACAGGTTACCTCGCGTTCCGGCATACCAAGACGGCATGGCCTGGGAGTCGACCCTGGGACCACCACCCTGTGCGCCTACTTCGGGCCTCAGGAGGTGCACGTCGTGCACGGGGAGGCGACATATCCTACAGCGCTTCGCGTACTCGATGGCGACTTCTCCCTGCCCAAGCGCGATAGCCACGGACCCCGCGTGATCAAGCTGGTGAAACGTGTCATCGGTCGGCGCAAGGACGACCCCCGCCTCGCAGAGGATGCCAAAAATGTGCCGAACGCTCAGGTCACAGACGATGGCGCCGTGCTCATGGTTGAACACGAGAAGTTCAGACCAGAAGAGATAAGCGCCTACCTTCTCGGCCGGACATTTCGGGTTACGGAGAAGCAACATGGCAGGTTCGCCTCCTGTGTCCTCACGGCGCCTGCTTACCACTCTTTCGAGCAACGGCAGGCACTCAAAGACGCGGCATATATGGCCGGTCTAGACAAGGACGCGGTTACGGTCATTGACGAGCCAGTAGCTGCCATTATAGACTTCATAATGACCTACCCCGATGACGACATTCACGACCAGGTCACGGCCGTCATCGATACGGGCGGCGGGACCATTGACGTGGCCATCGTCTATCCCAGCAAAACACCAGAAGGCCTAACAGTACTGGTCAAGTCAACCTCTGGGAACGATCGTATTGGTGGCATGGACGTCGATCGCCGCATGGTTGACCATGTGCTTGCTGCTCGCAAGGGCAAGTATGCGCACGATGACGGTGCTCTCTTAAGCGAATGCGAGGCCGGTAAAAGAGAGCTGTCGACGGCCCGCAGCGTACTCTCCATCCCAGTACGGCCTTGCGACGCGAGAACGGAAACCGAGGAGCTCGTGAGCATCACAAAGGCGCAGTTCGAAGGCCTCTGCGAGCCTGTCGATTCGGCTTTGCGCGCAGCCTTGAAGGACGTGACGGGCTTGGCCGACCTGCATGTCAAGCATGTCCTCATGGTCGGAGGCTCGAGTGGCCTGCCCTGCGTTCGCCGGATCTGCGATGAATGGTTTCCCGACGCCCGCGTGTTGCAGTCCGCTGGTGCTGTTGCCGTTGCGCGTGGTGCGGCGCACGTTGCCTCTGACTCCTCCATCCACTTCATACAGTCGCTTCCCCGGGCCATCGGGGTCGTCGCTCATTCTTCCGACGATGCCGCCTCCAGTTTACGGTTGGACACGGTGATGCGCCGCAACACCCAGCTACCGAATCAGTTCGAGAGGACATTTTTCACCAAGCTCGACAATGAGACCGAGATAGAGATTGAGCTCCGCGAAGGGGAAGCTCTCGAATCAAGTGTACACCTCGGCACCCTCGTCATCAAGGAGATTCCACCGTATCCCAAGGGAACAGAGATCCTGGTGACGGTCAAGGTCCCCAAGCTAGGGACCGTCATTGCGAAGGGAACAATGGCGGGCCTCGCCAAGGAGCTGACGATCGTACCCATACCCCGGCTGTCGGAGGAGCAGCTGGAAGAGTACCGCAGGCGCACGAGCGAGCGTCTAGGCGATGGGCCCCAGAAGGGCGGACGGATCGACAGCGGTGGTGGGCTCGAGGACGGCAAGGGACCCCAGCAAGACCACGATAGCGAGCAAGCGAGCAGTCAGGGCTCGATGACAAAGCGGGCCGGTACGAAGCGTGGCGCTCTCATCCCTTCAAGAGGAGGCAAGAAGAGGAAGAGCAAGTAAGCAGATTGGCCTCGCTGCCGTTGCCTTCGCCTTCCCACTGTAGGACCAGAGGCGAATGGGCGTTGTACTTGTACGGTTGCTTAGCTATGTTCCGTCCTGCTCCATACTCCACATGTTACTTTTGGCTGTGGACATATCGTGACCTGCGTCGCGAAATGCCATGCGTGCTGGGAGTACGCGTTTACCAGGCTCTGTGGCGCCAGGCTCTGTCCCTCGAAGAGAGCGATAGCGCGTTTGTTGAGGAAACTCTGGCGACTCTTCCTCCAGACCTAGCCTCCGAGTCTGACAAGTCCGACATGCACCGTCTCCGGGCTGACGTCAATTCGGCAGTTCACCTGGTCATCCGGATCTAGTTATTGAAGGTGGCGGAACTGGGCCGTCTGACAAGACGCGGCGGAACTGACAAAAGCCGAACTGAAGCAGGCAGCCATATCTCACTTCTACACCAACGTCTTCAACGAGGCTCATACTGCTTTGTTCTGATTCATAGTCCTATGACCGGTCGCGAGCCGGAAGATAAGTTATCCCAAGCCTAGCTTGCCGTGATACCGAACAAAACCCTGGGCGCGTTGGATGATACCTGTGTTTACGGTTCCAGCCAAACCAAGTCAAGTTTGGGTTAGTTCGAGGTCCCTTCTATGCGGATGAGCAACTGAGGTGAGGCTGGGCCCGTGAGCTTCGTAACCCTTTTCAAAGCCCGGGGGAATCAACTCACACAGCCCAGTTGAAGATCCCCCATGCCGCGTAGCAGCGCATATTCTGCGGAATATTCTTATCTTCTCCAACGCAATGGAGGGGTTCACCCCGAACAAACATATCCTTGTGGCTATGTGGGATGCCTCAGCGAGGTAAATCAACACCAAGTGGTCTTTACGGTGTCCCAAGAATGCCAAGATCAAGAGTTGGGCTCCCGCAAAGTTGGAAAGGGTATCCGAGGGCTTCAATCCGGACTGGGGTTATAGTTGTAAGGACCAGGGTGTGGCCAATAAGAGAACAGCTTACAAACCCCCAGTATAAGACGGTATGAACCAGGAAAAGAGCATAAAACCTAGATCAATGACCTACGAGATCCGACAAGAACAGGTCGGGGTCGAGGGTGCCAGAAGGGGATGATCCGTTGCCGGATATTGGGATATGATGCGTGCAGCAAGTTCACTCGAGATCATGACGTCAGTCCAGAAGGTAACGTCCAGATCACGTAACCTTTCATCGCAATAGGCCGAGGCTGGGGTACGGCAGCTGTCTCCGTGAACTCTGTAAGAGACGAGTTAGGTCTTAAGATAATAAAGCGTAAGCAAGAGCAGAGCTTAAGGCCTTGTCTGCTTCCACGTCAGAACATAGTCGCTTCACACCCAATAAAGTCCTGAGTGGTAAGTTTACCGAAGCACGTGTAAATTAAAGCAGCCAAGACGAACTGTGGACCCATAAAACCTGTCTATGGGATGTTCAAGGGCCTGGACAGATTGGGGCTCCTTCTGAGCTGCGACAAGGAGGGGACGCGAGGTGGGATCTTCCTCATCAGCTCGAACTCCAAGCTAGAGTGGGATGGCCCTTGGGAAGTACACTCGATTGACGGTGCGGATGATTTGGATAGGGAGTCGGGAATTGTCTTCAAGATGGATAGAACGGCTGCGGGTCCACGGTTGGCCCTGAGCATGCGCAAAATGTCTAGGGCTTCAACATCGGAAGACGATAGAAGCCCTTGCAAGATATTGGAGGACTTGATTGTGATTTCGTCGAGCTGTTTCGGGTACACGCATGGCGTGGGTTTCTTTCGACATGCCTGTTACTTGGGGCCTGCCCATACTGCCCAAAACGAATGTGGAGTTTCACTAGGTACGGTACTCTATTGCAGGGAACGAGAGGTAGAATATACACGATTCTTCTTTCTACAGCAGTTATCGCAGGAAACTCGTTCCTGCTGTGTTTACGCTTGCTGGGTTCCGATTCCTCCAGGTTAACGATGGGTAGGGGAAACTGGGAAGCAGGGCTTCGACATGGGTGCTGGCAGAGAAGGGTGTGATCGCAGTGGTATTGGCAGACTGCAGGCCAGCTTCGGCAGGCCGAATGCAGCGGAATTGTTGACTGTCAAAGCTGGACATAGTCGTCACGAGGGGCGCATGTCATGATAGTTTGGAGATTGAGAGCTTGTCGTTGCTAGCTGGGCAAGGCGCACACGCCATATGCTAGACGGAGAAGCTGGATGGGACCACCGCACAAACGACGTCGTGTGCTCAAAGCAGCTCAAAGTTACTTATCATTGCTGATGACAGAAACAGCCAACTTTTCCCTCGGGTTCGCAAAAAGCTCAAGCTCTGGTCGGTCTGTCTCACCCTACCACCCCCTCTATCCAAGCACAAACTTCTCCAGGCCCTCTTTTGGAGTGTTGGACCAGTACTTGAAGCTAAATTGATTGGGTCCTCATCCGTACCCCGACAAGCCCGGGTTCCTGGCTCCTGGGTATCAAGTTACCACGCTGACACAGCACGCTGTGAATACCTTGCCGCAGTCGGTGTGTCTAATTGTTTTGTGATCAGCAGACGGGCCCCATCCCAGCCTGCATTGGCGGCGTTTCCAAGAACCAGGCAAAGCTGCGAGTTTCACTCACCGTCTTAGGAAGGAGTTTGCTCCCTGCAACACCCATTACATGCCTCTGGAGATTTAAAATGAGAGAAGGATTCGGATTTTAAAGCCGGGCAGAAACACCACGCTGCTATGTCACTATTCTCACCCCATAACGTAAACTATCAACACGCATCAACCCCGGCTCTCGCGTATCTGTGTACAAATCACGTACACAGACACACACCCATGGAGCACGCCGTTCAATACTCTCTCTTGCTGTCACTTACATTCGAGTGAATAACAGCCTTAGCTGATTGCTGCCGCTTCGGCCGGCTACTCGCCGATTATGAGACACGTGTGCCGTTTCCTCCATAGCTTGTTTCCACTAGGGCAGCACCCGTCCGTCCTTTTCCTAGGAACATGGATCAGCCGCAGTGCCCGTTCGCTTGTCTCCTCACCCGCGTCCCCGTCATTTGCCCATCTGTCCGTCCCCTTCCCGCTGCCGACTCGATCGCTCAGAATTGCCTCTCCGCTCGTGGCAGCCTGGTCCTTGTCTGTCGAACATGCACTTTCACGAAATGGCTCCCCCAGACAAAGGAAAGTATAAATACACCACTGGCAGCAACGCCGAATCCTCGTCATCATCAACGCCTGTGGTCCTCGCTCTCATCCACAACTATCATCAACTCTCCATCCAACACAGACGTCGCCTACAGCACCAGCAACCAGCCTTTAAGGTCAACATTCCGCATACCTCGTCACCGCTTAGTCAACTCGTCCTACCCTAACGTCCTCGGCCGACACCAGTTCTAAACCCCAGGACACATAGGAGATGGCCCACGTCGCACAAGGTCAACCCGTCAAGATGTTTACCGCGTGCCAGCAGAAGGCCAACAACGCATCGCACCCTGTCAGTTACCGTCCACCATAGGCCTTATGGCTGACCCTGTCCTACATTAAGATGCCGAGCTGACGATATCCACAGCAATATCTTCCTGGTATTCGGTGCCCTACCTGCCGCGAATCTGGCAAAGAGGTGTGGGTACTACCCGGCAAAGAATGCGGCTACTGCGGCACCCCCTGCGGGTAGGGAAGAGTGACCGGAATTCTGGACGCCAGTTAAGTAGGAGCCACTCACCGCCCCGAGGCACAGGAGCTTGTCGCTGATCTTATATAGTGCACGACCGGCATCCATGGCAAACGGTCGATCGGGGTGGATGGCCGACACAAGCGGATAATTCGTCATGGAGGAGGACAACAACCGGGGTATCGCAATTCAGCAAGGGGCGCACTGGGTGATTCACAAGATAACACGGTCAAGATGGGGAGAGAGCAAGTTGGGGCGGTTGGGCTGAACACCGTTTTGGGTCAGCGACACCTGGCTGGTCGACTGTGCCGTGTTGTTTGGCAACGAACTGGGTATTGTATCTTAATGACGGGCGAGCCAAGTTTTATTTGGTCATCGTATGTGTGATGGCACAAGCGCCACGGAACGAACTCGAAGGCGGCTTGCAGGGTACGACTTGTAATTCTAACGAATGACGAGCAAGAATTTCCTAATTTCTTTTCTTCTGCACGCTGTGCCAGACGACGAGAAGGGACGAGTGGCCATGAATCCTTTTTTGAGGCTGGAGGGCTTTCCATCTAAGGAAAAGGACGGTGGGTGTGATGGTGAGTTGGGACGACGGGCACGTCTAGCCTTGATGTTGGTCAGCGCTGGAATTCCTGCCATATTGTCGATCTGATGGTGGTGGAGACCTAATGGAAGTGCTATCTCAACTATTAACACGGAGAATGAAAAGAAGCAAGCAAGACGGTCAAAGCGGACAAATCGCTATGAGAACACCCCCCTCCCCCGGTTGGCGATGACGCTTACGAACCCATGCATCACAGCTTGCGAAGGAAGTGCCCCAACCGGTGAGCGCAATCCTAGCGTGCGATGATAATGTCCTATTTTCGCGGGTCAAGACTTGGATCCCAGGGGGGCGAAGGGATCGGTCCCAGAGGCATGGTTCCGTCGACAGACACACCTTTGCCTGGCACCTACACGAGGACCTTTGTCCAACCGGCCACCACTCTAGCCGTAACGTACGGGAGTGCCTACAAGTCCTTCCCCCTGTAACCCTGTAACCTCGCCAAGAAGATTTGGTGGTACGGCGCACCTGGTCTTCCAGGTGCTCCCAAACGCAGACGACAGACTGGTACCTACCAAAGGCCTAGTTCCGTTATCTTTTCCTGTTCGCCTTGCATGGGATTCCTGGCTCGGCTGCCCATCATACACGGATACACCTACGGCCTAAGTGGCTAGGGGTATTCCAGCTTGGGAGTGGGACTCGGTCGGGGCTGGCATGAGGTAGGACCAACCGGGTGTTGTTCGGGATCTGACTACAGGCGTGTGCCCCACCATTAGTGAGAGGCACCCAGACAAGACATTCATTCACCAACGACGAGTGCTTAATCTCGTAGACAACCAGGGCCAATCAAGTGTCGCGCCATGACCGGGCAGCAGCTTGACGGTTGCCCTGCTCGAGGAGGGTACGGTGTAAAAGGGGTCCGTCTAGGACTTGAACACTACTCAGCGGCCATGCCATAGACTCGGACGGGTATATCAAGCCATGGGGGCCGCCAGGCTTCGCTTCTGGTGGATTTGACATTCCGGATTCTATTGGCGTGGCAGGGCCGAGACTGCCAGACACGTCCGAAACCTCAAATCCCAACATAAGGAAGCAATGACCTCGGACCACCATTTCAATCTCAATCAGCCGACCATGGTGGGTTACTGGGGTGGTGGAACACTGTTGCTTGGCCAGTCGGTCTCGCCTCTGCCTCCCTCGGCCCGCAATGACAAGGACAGAATTCTACCCGAAGTAGAGCCAGGGGCCCATTCTAATACCACGAATACTACAGCTCAGGGCGCCTTGTCCTCTGACTACTTCGTCGATCTCGCTTCCGGCGGGTCAGTACCGGTCGCATATGGCCCATCTCATGTGACGGAACACCAGCCGCCGCAACTACAGTCGTCAGCCATCGAGCCAAAACGCCGTGGTCGTCCCCCGAATAAGAGGCCAGCGCAGGACAAGGAAACCAGCCCGAGGACGGTCCCCCCGGGACCAAATTCGATCGCTACCCGTCGGCCTTTCCCATCGACATATTCCCCTCCCCCCGGACCGACAACCCAGGGTCCGGGTCGGACAAGAAGACGCGCCTTCGCGCCCGCAATCGCGCAGCCGCCGACATGTACCGTGCCCGCAAGCAGCGTGGTATAGAGGACCTACAGGCCCAAGAGGCCGCCCTTAGCGCCATCAATGAGAGCCTCCGGGACAAGTACGTCAAGTTGCGCGGCGAGGTGCTCATGCTTAGGGACATGGTCCTCCAACATAGGCGCTGCAGGTGCTCCTTTATCGAGAAATATGTAAAAAAAAAAAAGGCGCCGCGGTCAACCTGTCGCAGAACGCCAACATCACAAAGGCGAATCACGACAGCTCCTCTCGAACCGCCATCTCGCCCGCGGTCAGTTGGTCTCCTGTTACGCCACAGGGGCAGGGCGCCTGCGGCTCGCCCCCCTTCGATGCACAAAGCGACAACGGTCTCTATTTTGACTGGAACGCGGCATGGCCCGGCATGGACTTCCAACATGACGGAGGACAAATGGAAGGCACGCCGACCATATATACTTACGAGAACTACTAGGGGGTGGTTGGCGACCGCGTCGACAAGACGGTGCGACCCATTGGGGGATACTTTGGGAGTATGTAACGGATCTTGAGTCAAACTATATCCACATGTATTTGAGGTTTATCGAGAATGAATAACTTTCTTTTATGAGGTAATGATGGGGTGGCTCGCGCCGCAAGGCATGCAGGTGGGCGTGTCCATCACTACATGGCCTGCGCGGTTGCCCATGATTCGGGGCCAGAGAGAGCCCAACTCTTGAGCTTGGCATTCTTGGGCCACGGTAAAGACCACTTTGTCTTGATTTACCTTGCTGAGGCTTCCCGCATGGCCACAAGAATGTGTTTGTTCGGGGTGGAACCTGCTGTTGCGTTGAGCAAGACGAATGAGATTCCTCAGGACATGCGCTCCGCGAGCTGTTACGCGGCATGGGGAATATTTAACTGGACCATGTGAGTTCACTCAGTCAGACCTAAACAAAGATTCGGCGCTAAACGCCCTAGCCTCACCTCGCTCTTTTATCAGCAACCCGGGCTGGAGTACCCGGAGTACCCCCCCGTGCTGCCAATTCCAGTTCGCTCCAACCAGACGTCCCCTCTGCGGAACTTCAGTAAGGTCTCTACCACCCAAGACCATGAAACCCACACCCTGTGGTACATGGGGGAAACATTTGCATACCTATGCAAGTTTTGGCAGATTCTGCATGGTGTCACGATAGTCTACCACAAGAGGAATCAGGAACCCTTCAGGCCTGTCAACGAGCATGTCTCTGTCGATTTTGCGGAACGCAAGTATCGGGAGCTTCTTGCTTTGGCTGATACTCTACCATCATCGCTTATTCACTCAGGAGACAGCCCCCATCATGTCCTAATCTTCCAGTAAGTTTTCAGGCTCAGCCCCTGATGAAGCTCGAATGACAAGGCCTCTAGCTTGTGGTTTCATGCCGCAATCCTGGATATTTTTCGCCCTTTCATACAACACCCTGTAGCCCGGCAATCGCGACTCACAACGTTCTCCTCTTCCGAAAGTTCCCCTGAGGCTGCCTTCAGAGCATCTTTAACTCAGCTCAAACGTCTTATAGTTGTCTATCGCTCTAAATATCAGTCGTCTGAGCATACGATCCTTTGGCATACCGCCTTGATCTACGTTGCCAACGCCGTTCTCCAAGACACACGAGACCCGGAATGGCATTTCTACTTCTTGCAATGCGTTTCCGGGTATGAGAGCCTACGGAAGTCATACCGTCTCGCTGAAGTCGTTGGCCGCGCTCTGCTCTCCATGACTCTGCGCAACGGAGACATTTCGGGGACAGAGGCTCGGGAGCTTCTACAGCGGTTGAAGCAGAAGGGCTTGGACCACGACACCTCTGACAGAATTCGGGCCACTTTCATGGGCGACTTGGAGCTGGCCATGACGAACCCACGTCAGGCCAGCGTCGAGAACCTAGCCGAACAGTTTGAGGACATGGCTCTATGGCAGGAGTTTACCAACACGGAAGGCGTCTGATACAGATCTTATAGAACTGTACTATGACGTTGAGAGCTTGGAAGTGGCAGGCTACGCGAGTAAGCGGATCTCCCCATCAAGAGAGTCCATCTTGTATGAAAGGCTGGATGAACGGTAGGACCTGTGATTCAGGGAAGAGGGTTCAGCTGATAGCAATACGCAGTTTCCAGCCAAAAAGAACTTGGGGAAGGCAGGTCGATGTTCTGGGCCCCTGCGGCAAGTCTGGATCGGTCCAAGCCAACACGTCCCCGTGAAGCAGGCAGAACGCCGTACGCGGCGTCCAGGCGGCAGTCGAGAGTGAAACTAAAATGGTAGGACATGCAGCAGATAAGTAAAGCAATACATGCTTGAGGCTGAAACCGTATTGAAAGAGAACTTTAGAAGACCCAGCGAGCAAGGTAGCCATTTCTTGTCATACGCTTGTTTGCGCCTGCTCATCACCTAAGTTACCTCTTCATCTTGTGGGCCAACGGCACGGCCGCAAGGTTTCGTTCAAGTACTATTAGAGCCCCGCCGCTCTGTGTTTTCCAACCAGAGCAATCTTGCCAGCCGGATCTCCTGTCCGGGAAGGTCAAGCATATGATTGGGCGAAACTGCGGCACAGTTGTGGCGCTGGATGAAGAAGGACCGCGCTGACTATTGGTCAATGACCTGATCGGATGACATGCCGGCTCCGATATGGAGCCACGCAGCGCCGGAGAACTCTAGGGTCCCTTCACACCCGAACCCTCATGGCTAGACGCCAGCTCTCCGATTGGTAGAAGGAGTACTCCTATCGGACCTGCCTAATGATTGCCCCGCCCGTCAGGCTGTTCCTAGCCCAGCCATATTTACATGAACACTGCCCCGAGGATCTTTGGGCACGGTTGTGGTAGGTGGGATTACACGACTTCGGAACGATTCAATGTTGGCTCATGATACCACTCCTGCAGCACACCACCGAACTGCGCAGGTGTAATCGTTCGTCATAGCGTAGTCATGGTGGCATCACCACAGTAGAGAAGCGAAACCATCAGAATATGGGCCTGCTGTCCGTGGCACCATGCTATTTTCCTCGATCCGCCACATAGGCGATAATCCAGAGTAAACTAGGCCTAGAATGGCAGACAGACTCCTTGGGCATGCAGCAAATGTGTGACCACAAGAAATTTTGTTTAGGTACTGCAGCACGGCCACCCTGTGATCTCGAACCAGAGCCTCGCGCCGGCCGGATCTCATGTCCGGTAGGATCACGCATCTGATTGGGCGAAAATGAGGGGCAGTAGCACGTCAGTTCATTTCCTGTCGCATGGTGTTACTGATAGCAAGCCCATCTTCGTAGGGCCTTACTTATCCGATAACACTGAACCTGACTTTGAATGATGCTACCCTGACGAACAAGTCACAGCTGCCCTGTTCGGCGGTGTTGCAGGAGTGGTATCATGGGGTGGTGATGAGTAACTTTACAGCCGTCCCGAAGTCGCGTGATCCCATCACCAAATTAATGGATTAGATGGGGGCCAGTCACGAATTACGTTCGAGTGGTACTACTCACCGTCATCGCCCTCCGGCACTTGCCGGATGATTCGCTCCACTCCTTGCGGGCAGCGTGATAGGCTTGGCCCCATCTATGGACCTAAAAATCGCAGGGTGGGTCCCCAAACGGTCGACGAAACTACACCTCCAGATGTGATTCCACCCACAAACAGGAAAGCCGGGAAGCACAGGTGGGACCACTGCTGAACCAACATCGTAAAGTTCACAGTGGGGTCCCATAGCCCATGGTGCCACCACACACCGACCATGGGCCTTCATGGTGGTGCCATCATGCAAAGGCGGCCAGAGGTGATGGGAATACTCAAATGAACAGCCATTTCATAGTTTAACTTTGATTAACACGACATCGCAATGATTGAATGTGAGACTTCTTAGTCACAGCAAAATGAACGAACGCTCTAGACAAATATATTAGCTTTTGCCGTCGATTTATGGCCATACTGCTGCCTGCATACCGGATTACCACTGACTGATTCGACGGTGAGACTGATACCAAAGAATAATATTGGAGAGCATTTGTCGCACCCGATAGATATAATGACAACCAACTCATCTGACGGCGACAGTTCGACAAACAAACCGTCTCCCTGGATTTTTGGTGTGGCCATAGGCACGGTTGTGGCTTTGGTGATAGTCGTGCTTTTTATAAATGTTTCAATCCGGTATGTTCTTCCTCACTTATTTCCGGCGTCGAACCTTTTGCCTTTCTATAAGCTTACAAGCTAAAGGTATTTCTCAGAATATCCGAGGTCTGAAGGTTGGGAAACACACGACCCAGAGGCTACACGTGGCCCGAATAAAACGGGGAGCCTTGATAAAGTCGCCGCCCGTCAGCTGTTCCTAGAATACAAGAGCATAATACGAGACACAGCATTATGTCAACAATCTACGAACTACACAGTGTGGTAAGGTTGTCTGGGCCGCCCCATGATTTTCTCAAACTGGTTATTAAACGCACGAATTTAGCGCAATCTGTATGGAGGTTCTAGAAGACGAGGAAATGGTCCGCCCACTGGTTTGTGGCCACATATTTCACTCTGGGTGCATTACGTGTTGGTTCTTGAGGTTACACGATACTTGTCCTTTATGCAAAGCCCGCTTTGTGAACGAAGACGAGATTGCCCGTACTGGAAGGTCGTCTATCGAAAACCACTGATTTCCTTTCTTTATGTGGACAAAGGATTACGGGGCTTGAATTTTCATGAGAAAGTTCACCAACCTGATATTTCCCTCCATCCTCAGCTTAGTTCTAAAAACAAAATCATCAACATACTAGGAAAGCTTCTAATGATCGCTACTTCTGATAGAAATGTGTTAGTATTATGATGTCACGAGTCAAGAGCTGCTAGCATTTTATCTTAGCATATTGGGATGCTGTATAATAGTTTGGCAACTGGGAAGCCGAGTATCCGAGGCTTGTTGTGATTTTGATAACCACAGAGGTTCTTTGGAACATCCCGCGCTACAAGTACGTAGGCTTGTCAGGGAAACCTGATACCACCGAGGTCTACGGCCTTTCTCAGTATTCTGGAAGCTTGGGGACATCTCTTCGTTCCACTCGGATTATGAGAATCTAGACGCCCGGGTGGGGGAGAGCTTTTGTCGACCTCCATTGACAGTGTCGTGTTCACGGAGTATACTAGCCAAGGAACCCCCTCTCGGTGGCCTTGTAAACAAGACGTGCCTTCTCATCTTGTCGATAAGGCTCTCAAAGTGCACAGAAGAGTGCATCGACAGGCATAGAGGCTTGGTTGCTAGCTCCGCGGCTATTGTTTCTGTTATACTGGTCTATCAAAGGTGTCAAAATGACGATTCTCTGTTATGCACTTGACCCCATGCATCAACGACCCTGTCACCACCGACGCATCCGACCGCTTCTTTGGCTACACGCCCTTCTGAAATTGCTCGCTGGCCTGGAAAAAACAGCGCGCTCAACACCAGCCACGCAGACTTCCTTAACCCATCGCCGAGCTGGGGCCCGAGGGTCATGTGTCAAAGCGGCCGGCACCTTTGTTAGCTGAGGAACAGGCCACGCATAGAAAAGGGCTGAGAGTGTTCGGTGTATTTACCTAAAATAAGCCGTCGAAATCGAGATTATTGTCATGTGAACCTTCTTCTTGCTTACTCTTTTTGGTTTAACATGGGCGATTGCACCTTCTCGAATCCTTGTCGAAGATACGAATTACAGGATTTAGCAGAACTGAAAGGGGAGAGAACCTTCTGGTCTAGCAGAACAGGCGTTAGGTTCAGGCCCACAGTGATTTCAACCTCGAGATTAAGTTTCTGGTTAATGAACGCACTATCCGTGATGAAACCAGGAAAGTAACCGGCACAGATATGGTAGGAGAAGAGACTGGACCTAGTAATTTGTGGAGTTATCTGCTCGTACGAATTAACTAGGCACCCCTATTATGCCATAGATTTAGAAT